CCATGCTTTGCCTTGGCCTTTAGTCTGCTTATGACAGTCAGGGTCCCAAAGAGCTTTGGGGCTCAGGAATTTGAGGCAGGGGAGGGTCTTGTCATCAAAATCCTTCTTCTGAGCCAAAGGGTCAGAGGAGATGAAGTGGGAAGCCTTGGGTAGGTCGTCCCATAATGACATCTTAGGGCAGCCAGCACAGCATTGGAGACTGGGAATGGGCAATCAGTGCAGAGGCAGGGGTTTGTAAAACCATTCCTGCCTGGGCCCCTGCTCAGTCTAATAGATCTTACTCCCCAAGAGTAGGGCCCGATACTCATTTGCATCTATTGGATTCTGTGAGTGAATCTGCAACAACCAACCCAAGTCCCACATTTTAGAACCACAGGTTCAAAGGTCATTCTTCAAATTGATTTATTTTATGTGCCTTGGTGTTTTGCCTGCATGTATGCCTGTGTGAGAGTGTCAGATCCCCCGGAACTGGAGTTGCAGGCAGTTGTGAGCTGCCATGTGGGTACTTGGGATGGAACCCCAGTCCTCTGGAAGAGCAGCCATTGCTCCCAACGGCTGAGCCATCTCTCCAGTTCCCCAGAGTCATGCTTATAATGAGGAAACAGAGGTCCAGAGAGGGGCTATGACTCACCAAGAGCCATACTAGGAGAGGACAATAGTCTCTATCCCTTTTCTCTGGAGTGATAGGACAGTCTCCCTCTAGCTCCCTCCACCCCTCCACCTAGGTCTGGGAAGTGAGGTGTCTGGGTTAGACTCCCCTGAAGGAAGTGGCCTCTGAGACCTTGGTAGTCCAGGTTGGGGAATGGAGAAGGACAAAGAGAGAAGACATTCCCAACGGAGTTGGTATCTGTTCCGCCTCTTCCTGAGTAAACACCCCCAGAACCCACCAGGAGGTGTTTTCTGAAGGATTTACACCCCAGGCCTGGGGAGACCATTTCCAACGCTGGGGACCCACCTATGTCCTGAAATGGCACAACCATGTCTTAGTAGGTTCAGGGTTCCCTTGGCCCTCTCCTACTTCCGGTCCCCACCACTTCCTCCAAGCCTGCTTCCCACACTCACATGCTTCCAGGTTGTCAGCTCCTGCCTAGACTTCCCTCCCATCCCTCCTGTGAAGTGTCTCCACACAGCCTCCCAAGCCTCAAGGCATGTCTCTCCTCTCTCCTCTCTCCTCCACCCCGCCTGTCCTGAGTCTTGACTCTTGTAGTCCGACACAGCGTCAGGGATTCTTGGAAAACAGGAACTAGTTCAAGCTCATTTTCAAGTCTTCTTGAGACTCCAGCCTAGCTCCAGCACAGCCCAGAAAAGTCAGCATTTGCTGTGGCTCAGGGTCCAACTCACCTCCCCCAACCCCAGCCCCACTGGGTTGGGTGGCTTCTCTTACCCTTCAGACTCAGTCTCCTTATTCATGTGTGGCCCGTCACAGGGCTGTGCTGAGGATTGAGGGCATCCAAGTAAAAGAGATGGGACATGTGTGGACTTGGTCAGCACCCAGTAAGTGACGGCCATTGTGGTTGCAGATTGGTGGAAAGATACATCTGCTCGTGTCATGTCTGTGTGTCTTTAATCCCAGCCACATGCTTACCAGGGTTGGCTCCATGCAAGAGTGGCAATGCCTACCACATGTGTCCCGAATGGGGACTTGCTGCCCTGCCTGCCTTCGAGGAGCACATGGATTTAGGGACACGTGTTTAGGCCTATGAGTGGGATAGGTAGAGGCATTGTGAGAGCCTGGGACCTGACCAAGTGTTTGGAAACCACGGAGTAGACAATACAGATGAGGTTGAAAGGGGATGGAGAGTCAGAAGGGGGCAAGCTTCTCAGACCCCCACTCACTATTTGCTGATGCCCAGAGTCTGAAAGGCCAGAACTGAGGAACAGGGATCCCTAGAGGACCTAACAGTTGGGTGAGTTTTAGCTCAGAGTTCCCAAGCAGATCTCTGAGTCTTGCTGTCTTCCTTGATCCCCAAATCTATTGTAACTAGGGCAAGTGCTGTGAAAACACGCTGTGAACTGTAGCATTACATGCTCTCGTGAGTTAAAAAACACAGTTCTAATCTGAGCTGGCACACTTGGAGAGTTCAAAAGCTCTTTTGAGACCTCCTGGACCTGCCCATGACACACGACTGTAACGCACTCATGTTCTGCCACCTGCTGGTGAGAATCTGCAATGGCAGCCTGCGTCAGCTCCCAAGTCCCTCTGCACCGCCCAAGGAGCCCTGGGCTATGAATGCAGAGCTGAGACAATATTTGTGTGCTCTCTCATGCTCTTCTGAGCCTGGGTCTGTACTCTCACTGTGAAGACTCTTAGCTGTGTCCAGAAGGCACATTTCTCTTAGACACTCCCTTTGGTTACCCCGCATACTGTCCGTAAGGACACAGACCTGGAAAGCAGTTGGTACAGGGACTTTGGGGGTACCAGTAGAAGGATCACAGTTTAAGAGGATGCCATTAGACAATCCTCTTGGCCCCATGAAACTCGAGCCTTTGTGGGAAGAAGGGTTGTGGCTTAGGATGGCTGATTCATCTGGTATGCCTGAGACTGTCTTAGTATGTTTATTTGGGTTTTGCTTTTTCGAGACAGGGGTTCGCTGTGTAGCCGTGGCTGTCCTGGAACTCACTCATAGATTCCCCCCCTGCCTCTGCCTCCAGCGTGCTGGGATTAAAGCCATGCACCACCATGCCCGGCCGATTGTCCTGGTTATAGGACCAAAAAGCTCATGTCAACATCTGGGACAGTCTCAATCAAACCAGACACATTTGCTGGTCTTTGCTGTGAGCAGAGGGCTGGGGGCAACACTGGTGCATTGTCACACCAGCCCTGCTGTGCTGAAGGTGAGAGGTGTGGCCACAGAGAAATTCCCTGTAGTCCATGGCATCTCTCACTGGCTTCCTGCTGTCCTGGCCCCATGTTCCTCCCCAGGCACTAGACTCTCTAGACTACATTTGGAATCTGGAGACCTTTCCTCCCCTTAGCTCATCGTCACATGGCTCACTAGGGACTCTGAAGCCTAGGGATTGTCTGTGAGGTCATGCAGAAGGAAAAGAATGGGCAGAGAGGGCCTCTTCCGGACAACCTTTCTTATTGCCCAAGGGAAACTGAGGCCCTAACAGAAGATGAACCTTAACCTGTCGGCCCCTCAGAGAGACTTGAGTTCTTGGCTGCTTGTGACAATCCATACCCAACCCCTAATTCTTGTTAAGGGTACCCCCAAATGCCTGAAAGGAAGCAGACTCCATCCTTGGTCCTAAGGGTGCAAGCGTGTGGTCCAGATAATTGTGTAATGACCCGGCTCACCCTTGAGCACACGATCCAACTTATTTCAATCCGTCTGAAAACTGACTGGGACTTCCATTTTACAGCAGGGGAGACTTGGACCAAAAACATCTCCTAGAGTACCATGCCTTGACCAGTTCAAGAAGACACCCAGTCACATAAATTTGTAGCTATTTATTGCACTGAAAACACCAAGAATAAAACAGACATCTCTTCTCCCCCACCCCACCCCCACCCCCACCCCCAGTAGCAGAAAGTTTGAGCAGTGGTCATTCAAGTTCACAGCCACGTATTAAAAAAGAAAGAAAGAGAGAGAGAGAAAGAGAGAACTGAAACAAAATCCTAAACAGATAGTAACAATGAAACCAGCACAGGAACCTAGCAAACATATTCCCCCAAGGGTCTCCCTTTGAAGGGGGCCAGGAAGCCACCGGGCAGGATTTGAGCTATGGCACGTAAGGCTGGAGATGCTTTTCCTACAACCCTGACCAGAGCCTGAGTTTTGATTTGCCTTTTCTTTTTTTCTTTCTTTCTTTCTTTCTTTCTTTCTTTCTTTCTTTCTTTCTTTCTTTCTTTCTTTCTTTCTTTCTTTCTTTCTTTCTTTTTTCATCTAGAGGGTATTTGGGAGGAGCATGGAGCTTGTCTGGTGAGGGCGGACTCTGGGCAGTTTTTGTTTTTTTCTGCCCGGTCCCCTGCCTGCCACCTTGGAGTGTCCCAAGGTCTAATCCAGTTGGCTGCCCACCCACAGGAGCGGCCTCTGCAGAGTGGGCCGTCTCAGACTGGGGTAGGGATCTGCCTCCCCTTCTCCCACATATGGAGAGGCACAGAGTGGACAGGGGGCATGTTAGCCAACGGAAGGCAGGGCACAGACGTCTTCTGGTTGGGGAAACTGAGGCCCCATGAGGGGCCAAAGACTCACCCAAAGCAGCGACTGGAATCAAAGCCACCGAAGTCCCCAAACACTTCTTTCCCCTGCAGTCCATTGCTGGCGAGCAACAGACGGGCACCAAAGAGGAAAATGAGGGGCAGGTAGGGAAATGGACACGGACCGGCCAGCCCTGGCACATAAGTAGGCCAGCCAGTGACCAACCCAGCAGGCTCTCCTAAGTGGGGTGGGCTTCGTGTCACCATCTTGTTTGACCCTCCATCACGCTGGGTAGGAACATTGATGGAGAAACTGAGGCTTGAATAAGGGATTAGATTTTACTTGGTAATTGCAGCATCCCCTGGTAAAGGCCACACCCTCCTTTACCTTTGGCTGGGGATGGCTGGGGACAATGGGTTCGCTGGGCCTTATGAAGAAGCCTGGTTCTGAGGCAGGGCCAGGGCCCATGCCTGGGCCTGGGGCAGCAGTGTCTCTCTGGCAAGGGCAGAGGACTACAGTGGGGTGGCTTGGACAAGAGAACCACTCTTCTGCCCTGCGCGTGTCCCCGGGCAGCAGGACTTGAGAGAAGAGCCCAGCACAGAGCTCACTCCATGGGGGAAAGGGGAACACTAGAAAGCTCTGGGTTAAACATCCCTTCCACTTCTGCTCCAGCCCACCCTCAGAAAAGCTGAGAGGATCAGTGCTGTCTCCAAACCCCTGGACACACGGCTCTTCCTCCCCTAGAATCCTCCAGAGGGGACAGTGTCTCATGCTGGCGGAACACAGCCACACGGAGACCAAAAGCACAGAGAGGCAGCAACGTAATTCCAAGTTGGACACTGAGAATACAACCTTGAATGTTGTTATTATTATTATTATTATTATTATTATTATTATTATTTTGTCCAAAACACGTCGTTTGATTTTGCTGAGTGTTTTTCTTCTTTTTTGTTTTTGTTTTTTTGTTTTTTTCTTCAACATACTTACTGCATATAAAGTCATGCAAAGAAAACAGTGCAGACAGGATATCCCCATGGACGAGACACAGCATTCCATGTCAGAGCCAAGAAGAGGGAGAGAGAGGAAGAGAAAGGAAGGGAGAGAAGAGACGGAGGAAGGGAGGGCGGGAGGGCGGGAGGGCAGGAGGGCGGGCGGGCAGGAGGGCAGGAGGGCGGGCGGGCAGGCGCACTAGAGCCGGCCCAAGTTCAGCGTGAAGTAGGAAAATAAGTTTCTGGGGCTCTGTTTCGTCCAAGTTAAGAGAAGTAATGAGGGAGGGTGCTCAGGAGGTAGTGAGGGATGGGGTGAGGGGATGGCACAAAGATACGGGGAAAGAATTCCTGGGAAGTACAGGAGTGAGGACTCCAGTTCCAGAGATGTCAAGTCTGGATCTTCCTATCCTGGTGGCCTCCCCGGCCCTGACTCACCCACTGTGTGTTAGTCATGCTGGCCCTGGAAGAAACCCTGTCAGCTGACCGTGGGGACCAGAATGGAAGGAAGCTGTGCTCCCTGCGGGGTGAGGCCACCTCAGAAAGAGACCTCCCCCCCCCCGCCCCCCCCCCCAAAAAAAATCTGGAACAGAGTAAAAACTTCCCCTCACCCCTCTTCCTACCCACTTCCCAACCCGATCCGACTCTTGAGGTCTAGTTATACATAAATATCCATTAACGCAAAGTCCATTTACGAAATACACAGAAGTTTGGCTGTAAAAAGGCATGCGTCCAAGTAGAAGGGATACCTAAATGTTGCTTGCTTTGCCCCTGAAACACCATCAGATTTCCTCTCCGACAGAAGAAGCTGGAATTCTCCAAGGACGTTTGGAGGGCAGAAGGGGCAGCTGAACACTGGAGGCAATCTTCACAGAAGGACTGAGGCAGTCAGTGGGGGGCCTGAAGGGGAGAACCCACCCCTTCCCCACAGCGGACGGTCTGGTCAACGCAGGGCCAGCAGAGATGGGAACAGCAGTTCAAGGCAGGGGCTCCAGGCACTGGCTCCTCTCTTACTCTCCCCCGTTAAGGAGTTGGCTTGGAAATTGAGGGGCTCATCCGTGCTTCCCTGGGGACCCCAGAAGATAGGGGCACACTTGCCCTCCTCTTCCTCCCTTCCCAGTAAACACGCAGGCCTCCTCACCTACAGCCAAAGCTAGGCCAAGCCAACAACAGTGGTTGTGGGGGTAAGGGCTCCTGGGGCCAGCATCCTGGGTACCGGAGCCTGAGGAAGGTCCCCACTGGCGGGAGAGGGAGAGGGAGAGGTGGAGCCGGGAAGAGCTGGCCATTTGCTTTGATGTTGTGATGGCTTGTGCGAAGGAGCGGATTTTCACGATGCAGGTACAGAGGTGACAATAGGGTGATAGGACAAGGAGAATTCCAACAAAATCCAAGAGAGGACCAGCAGCCACATTCCACGGACAAAGAGTGGATCTCTGCGATCGATCGACAACGCAGGGACCCCGGCCTGGTCCTTCAACTGTAAGACACGGTAAGCCCCACCACCTTAGACACGGGCTGCCGCCCAGGGTTTCCGCCCAGCTTCCCCCCAGGAGCTGCAGAGCCAGAGTCTCTCGTCACCCTCTCTGTAGCTATTCAGAGGCAGAAGGCCGCAGCAGCCTGCTCCCTTGGGCATGCCCCGCTGCCCCCACCCCTACCCCCGCCCCAGGTCAACACCCGTAATTCCCCCTAGCGGCGGCGCAGGAAGAAAGGATTCTTACTGGGGCAGGACGGAGGGTGCCCCGGATCTGTGGAAGTGGACAATCTGCCATTTGCCATCTCTACGGTGCCAGACACGGGTCTCCTCTGACTGGGCCGTGCGGGGGATGCCACCGGCATCCAGGTACTGCGTGATGCGGATGTAGGCGATGCACGCTGACTCGTCACCCATCAGGTGGATGTGGGGGTTCAGGATGGTGGTGTGCACGGGCTTGCTGTTCCGGGACCACACTGGAGGCAGGGATGGGGGGGGCGGGCAGCTGAGGCAATGCAACCCAGGGGGACTTCCTGCCTCATTTCCATTGCGCTCAGCTTCCCGCTTTCCTTTCCCGGGAGACACCTCTGCCTGACTCATACTCAGTAGGGGAATCTCTGGGACAGGGACCAGCTACCCGAGAGTCAAGGCAGAACTGTTATGGAACCTAGGTAACAGGATACCACCTCCCAGATAAGGTACAACGGACTTCAGACATGCCAAACTGCTCAAACACAGGGGGAGTGGGATTTTAGAATTAGGGTCTTGTACACACAAAAGCACGAAGCCCAGACAATTTACTGAACCAGGTAATGTTGCTTTTTCTTGAACACAGATGCACCCTGGGACCAGGCCAGTGCTTAAACGACAGAGGCTGAGCTGGGAATAAGATGCAACCAAGCCACTCCCTCTGGGTTAGGGAGACAGTAGGGAGTGATGGGGACTGTGGCGAATAGGACACCTTGTCCCATCTAGAGGCACCCTGCCCACAGCTCCTCTGGGTACCATATATTTCACACCTTATTGCTCAAGAGAGTCTGGAAATCTCTCTGGATTTTCATAGGGAAAGGCTTCACTTTTAACTGTTGTTCTGTTATTCAAATGCAACACAGCCTGTAAAACACATGGAATGTCTGTAATCTGGACGGGCCCCACCCTGTGTTTATCAACTCTATTGCTATCTACTGAATTATAGAAACAGGGGAAATAGAATTGTAGAATCTTCGAACCTTCAGTGTTGGGGGATTGTGTTAGTCATCATGGAGTGAGGTCATAGGGCTTTCTAGGGCTAGGGGCACACAGGAAGATCTTGTTGTCATGACAACTAACCAGAGTGCCTGGAAATGGTTCCTACCTCCATTCTCAACATCACCATAATATTCTAGAAACTCTCAAGTTGTTCATCAAGATGTAAAACAAAGGCACAGAAGACATTGACCCAGGGGCAGACAGAGGCCATCGGGTTCTGACAAGAACCCTTGTGTGCCTCCCCTAGGGTCGCCTGAATATTGGTCCCAACCGTGTGAACAGCTAGCCTCAACTGTGGAGTCTCCGACACTACCCAAGACGCCCCAGTTTGAGACTGTGTAACACCAGTATTTCTTCTCCATCCTCATAGTCTGAGTCTATGACCCAACACAATTTGCAAACTACATATCCCCTGGAAAATGTAGGCATCTAATGGCACCCACCCTTTCGTATTATAATCATGTGACCAGGCCTTCAAAAAGCAAGTCTCAAACGGAATAACAGACTCAGAATTTTGAGCTCTCAGGCACAGAAAATGTAAACTTTTAGAATAACCTTAGAGCAGTGGTTCTCAAACTGTGGGTCATGACCCTTTACATCAACTGACGCCTTCACAGGGGTCGCCTGAGACCGTCAGAAAACACAGATGTTTACATTATGATTCACAACAACTAGCAAAGTTACAGTTATGAAGTAGCAACAAAAATAATTTTATGGTTGGGGGGGTCACCACAGCATGAGGAGCTGTAGTAAAGGATCGCAGCGTTAGGAAGGTTGAGAACCACTGCTTTAGAGGCTCAGGGTCACCAAAGGTGCCTTTTCCAAAGTGCATGAGACTTCCCTAAATGTTCCTGAATGTGATGCGTGAGGCTGGAGGCAACATGTCCATTAATATGCATGGAAAATGAATCCAAAACCACTATCTGACTTGGTCGAAGCTGTCAATTTCTGGAGAAAAAAAAAAAACACAATGCAGAAGACAAGCTCACAGTGATTGGATGAGGACCATCCATGTCCATTCCCAAAGGAACAAACAGCTTAGCGTTGGTAGTGGTGGAGGACAAGCTTTGCCATTGTTGATCGTGGCTGGGATCCCAGGGACTCTAACATAGCATGGTGTTACTTGACCAGATAAGCAGCTCCCAGGATACCCTTCTTGGGGACAAGGTGGGAGACAGGGCCAGGTGCTGGGCAGGAAAGGGCAGGCAGAGGAAGGAAGCTCTGCAGGGCTGAGAGGCTGTACTGGGTCACATCCCTGGGAGTCCTCCTTACAAGTGAGCACAGGGTTAAGCATAGGGTCTAGGAGCCAGTTCTGAGATAGCACCTGCTGCTTGAGCAGACTAGAAACATGGACTTCCTTCTGCATTCGGACCCCTTGGTGGTGGTCCCTGAACCTGCGGAGTGGGACCTTAGTCTGGTGTCTGCCCGGCCCTGTGGAGACTAGAGGATCGAAGCAGGGAAACAGCACTCCCAGAGGACAGAGGTATAATGACAGCCACGGTGATGTCCCCACAACCGTGGGGAGCTGCTCACAGGATGAGAGGGCCCAAAGTCCAGCTTCCTCTCTTAAAAGAATTCAGTTTCCATCACTCAGCATGGAGGATCCTATCTGATTCTGTAAGGAAATGTAGCTTCTTTCTTTCCTTTTTTTTTTTTTAAAAAAAAGAGGGAATACTTGGAATCCCTGTACTCCATAAAATACAGCCGGAGGGGTGCAAGCCGGGAGGTGGCAAGTCCTGCTGCTATGCTGACAGAATGGGCCCTGTCAGCAAAAGAAAAGTGCACCAGATGGAGACAGAGCTAAGTCTGCAGCTTGCTTTGTGGATTCTTCTGGACAAGTCACTTCCCCTCTCTTGGCCATAGTGGAAATGTCTTCTGAATGACAGAATGGTGTTTCACCTTGAGTCGGCTCAATACCACCTGCGCTTTGTTTTTGAAACCATATGTAAACACCATCTGTGCTTATTTCAAGAAATGATTATCCTGGTTAGCTTCATAATGTGTTTATTTATTTTTAGGATTTTATTTTATGTGTCTGTGTGCTTGATGTGGGCAAGGTGTGGGTGGGTGGGTGAGGGTATGTGCACAGGAATGCAATGGCCCATGGAAGCCAGAAGAGGGTGTCGGATCATCTGGAGCTGGAATTATAGCCAGTTATGACATGACATGGGAGCTGGGAACCGAACTCAGATCCTCTGCAAGAGCCACTACACACTCCTAAGCTCTGAGCCATCTCTCCAGCCCTAATGTGATTATTTTCAATAAAACTTTGCAGCATTATCATTAGTGGACAATTGACTGCACAGAGTAAACAAGAAAGTTCAGTGAAGGGAAAATAGTTAGATCATTCTTGCCCCACATTCTTGCCTGCAAGGCATCTGAGCCCTTGCTGCCCTTTGGGGGGCGGGGGAAAGAGGGAAATTGGGAACTGTCAGAGAGGTGTGAGCTGGGTCTTTCTCTGCCTGAGCACTCCATGAGGAGGGCTTTCTTGCTATTTGAGTCAATGCTATCTGGGGTGCCTAAAAATACCAGAAAGCATGCATGCGTGTGGTCTGTACCTGTCGTTTGGAGGTAGGCTCACTATACCACCCCTGAGGTCCATCCTCCATATCCTAACCTTGGCTCGGTCCCTGTCTGACCCCTGGCCTGGGTAAGACACAGACAAGCAGGAAGCTCACTGGCTCAGGCCCAGGCTCAGCACCCTGCCCACCCTGGTTGCAAGCTTCTGAGACCTCTCCTGCAGAGGAGAGGTCCAGGAAGGACAGACATGCAGGACAGAGACCTGGACAAACAGGCAGGACACAGCAGTGTGAAATCTCTGCTCCTCCCTACCAATAAGGTCATATGCATCCTAACCCAGGAGCCATTGTGTCAGCCACTGAGCATCTGGGATGGCCCCAAGCCTCCAGATGACTGTAGCTTGTGGTGTGAGTTGGTAAAGGCTCCCTGTCTATAAACGGGAACAAAGACCCTCCACATAACTCTCCCAGGCTAGAAGGCAGGAAGGGGCTAGGGAGGTTTATCATATGTGTCTTTGGTCTTTGGGGACCCACCCTGGCCTCACCCCGGCCTCAGCCACAGGAAGGACAGCTGGTAGTCCAGCTGGCAATCAATGGAGAGGGAACCAAGAAGGTACCAACCCCTGTTCACATGGGATCTTCCTCTTCTCTGGCTCCTGAGCCGCCCCTGAGGCCCTGCCCGTCACCCTGCTGTGCCATCCAGCAGGACATGGAAGGAGAGCAGACAACAGGCACCCCAGAGAGAAGGGATTGCTCACGGTTTTCAAAATAGAATCGATGAAAGTCCAGGCCCTCGACCAGGTTCCCCAGGGCCTCAGGTTCGAAGGCTGTCATTCCAGGGTCACACATCTTCCTGGAGGAAGGAAGCCAGAGGAAAGAGGGGCCTGAGAAGACGACTTCTCGTCGCCCCCTCGGAGGGTGAGCTGGAGAATGGGAATGACCACACCTTCCTCGAGGGGGTCAACAAAGGAGGAGTTTGCACACCGTGGAGCAGGACAGGTGGGTGCCAGCTACATCCAGGCAGCCCGAGTTCAGGTCTCGGTTCTACCACTTACTGATGACAAGGTCCCCAGCATGTGCGTTTCCCTCTGGGAGCGAGTACCAGGAGGGGGTGAGGCATTATGCTGTACAGCCTGCTCCTTATTCTCCACACTGTACCCCATTCCCAGGCAGTGACCCAAAGTGGCTTTTCCTAACTTGTCTCTTGGGGTGAAGGAGTGAGGTGCCTTTTCCTTTACATAAACTGACCTCAGCTCCCCAAGTTAGGTGTGTACATGGAGGAGGTGCATTTTACTAATTTGGACAAAATGGACCCTATGGCTGGAACACCCTGACTGTTTCCTCTGCTGTAAATGAGGAAAAAGAGCCTTAAAGAAGATGATGTCCCTGAGGCTGGAGTGATGGCTCAGTGGTTAAAAGCACTGGTTGTTCTTCCAGAGGACCTGGGCTCGACGGTAGCTCACATCATCTGTGACTCCAGGTCCTTTTCTGGCCTCTACGGGTACCAGACGTATGTGGTATGTGGTACCTAGACATACATGCAGGCAAAATGCCCATACACATAAAATAATACAATTTTAAGACGATATCAAAGAGGAAGCAGAGAATGTGGCAGGGCGGGCCCCCAGCAAAAGGAAGCTGTGTGTTTTCAGCTGACGGTCCCTTCCTGCTGTCAGTCTTTTGGCGTGACTGCTAGGCAGGGGCAAGACACACATGGGGAGCCATTTACACACCTGGAGGATCTTTTGAGGCACAACATAAACCCCTGCGACCATAGCAAAGAAGCTAGGGTCAGGAAATGCCCCTGCACAGGCTAAGCTTCCTGTCCACTTTAGAACTGGGAATCTCAGAAGAGGACATCAGGCCTGGCCTTGCCTGGGATGGACAAAGCTTGGAGGTTACCTCAAGTGCAGCCCTGCGGCAGAACTTCATTAAGGGGGTGTCTGGGTCCTCTGCATCCATGAAGGACTTGAAGGCTATCTGCTCCAAGTCTATCGTACATACGTAGAAACTGAGACTCGGGGAGATGAAGGAGCTAATTCAGGAGCATGGCAGGCTACAATTCCAGGGCACCCCAGGCCTTAAGGCAAGTTTCAAAGCCTAGAGTGGGCCGATATCACAGCCTGTAACATTACAGAGGGGGAAAGTTTTCCCATGACACCCAGAAAGGCCACTTCACTAGCTCTTTGTTCCCTGGCTGTGGTTTTTCAGAGTCACTGACCTGATACATCCTGACTTAGCATCTCTAGAACTACCCAAAAGACTAGTGACTGAGTCTGCTTCCGTGCCTTGATGTAACACCCTGCTACACTCTGGCACACACACCTGTTCGCATTCCTTGAACATATACTTAATTTGTACACATGCAAGTGCGTGTACAAGGACCCTGGGCTTCACATATGCCTCTCGAGTACCTTGTTCCTCCAGAGACAGCCAGTGACTTTCCAATGACTGAATTTAGTTCCCATGGTTAAAATGCACATTGCAGCTTCCGGTGAACTGAGATCACGCCAGCCAGGCTGTTCCCACCTCACATTAACCCCACAGGCAAGGGTCACTCTGTCTTGGCTGGAAGCTTTTGCCCACCAAAAAGCAGGTGTGGGGTTGCCAGGTCCAGACCCCATCGGCCCTGGGCAAAATGCCAACGCCTACACCCAGAACACCTATTCTCTCTGGGCCAGGCAGAAAGACCAGCAAATGTGTAGTGACCACTAGAGGGCGCTGGAGCCCAGTTTATGCACACAGTCGCCTATCCAAGGGCTGGAGCAGGTGTGTGAGCAGAGGATATTCTGTTTCAGACTGTGTGCCTCATTCCCCAGAGGGTTTAAGGTTCATTTTGCTCACTCTTGCTCATTGATGGTGCACACCCTTGGGGTCCCTGCTTATTCCTGCTCAACTGAAGTCAAAGACCTGTGGAGATCCAGGGAATGGACCCACTGGGCAGGATGGAGAAGGGCCTGCCTCCATTCCCTTCTTCCCATGTTAGGGCACCGACCACTTTTCTTTTGGGGCAGGAAAACAAAAGCAGCTTTACTGGAGCTCCTCCTGGGACCAGACCGGCAAGAAGAGGAACAGGTAGTGTCACGAGCGCCAGGTGCAGACCAGAAAGGACGGAGCTCCATCTCATTCGCAGCCCATGCAGAGAGTGAGTCGGCTCAGTAACCCACGGTTAGCACCCCCCCCCCCCCCAGAACCCCCATCCAGGCAGAGCATGCAGAAGGAGCCTGGCTGACTCACGTGTAGGACTCAAAATCTCCATTGCTTATGGCTTCAATCAGCTGCTCTGTCACTTTGATAATTTCCTGTTTGCGCACTGTAAGGTAGGAGAGGACACAAGTAATAACAACAGCGACAGTCACGAGGGCCAAGTACCAGCTTCCGAGTCCCCGGCGGCACGTGCCAGGCAGGCTCTGTGGCGACCTGACATTGTGTACAGATGATCTCACTCAACCTGGGAGAGAGAGACCATGAGCCCCATTTCCCACAAGAGACCGAGGCTGAAAGTGGGGGGAATGTCGTTCCCTGAGCTACAAAAGGCCGAGGGTATTGCCTGGGCTGCCAGCCTTGACTTCCAAACACCACGGAGGACGTCCAGACTCCGGGTCTTGTTTGAAGCCGGGTTTTGACTCCAAAACAGCCATCTTTTGATTTGCCCCGTGAATCGAAACAATGCTACACGTGGCCTGATTACTGGCAGTCACAAACCAGGGGTCCCCCACAGGCAAACTTGGGGTCACAAAGGAAAGTCTTTGAGGTCACTCATCCCTCGTGTTGTCTGGGTAGTTTTCGCTCAATTTGAGTGGCTGTAAGATTCGGGCCGAGTTGCCTAGAAACTTCTAGGGTCAACTGCTTTCCCCTGTCTTCCGTGGAAAAACAGGAAGCTGATTTTCTGGTAGAGAGTTAAATGCCAGGCCCCTTATTAGACGTGCGATGGCCTGACCCTCGGCATCCCCACCTGTGGAAAGAGATTCACTCGTTCTAGCCGGTAGCACCAAGAACTCAGGTTTCAGTTCCGGAGAGCTCTTCATCTAAAACCCAACTGGGGCCCTCATGGGCTGTGGGGGCTGAGGACCACAGGACTGACAGTCTTGTCAGGTGGAGAGAAAAGTGTCCTCCTCCCAGAGCTGGTCTGAGGGTGGGACAATGTGGTGAGCACGAAGCAGTGTCCCCAAGCCCGGCCCATAGCAGGTGCTTATGGTAAGCACAGCCATGGCCCACACTTCAGCTTGCCTTGCCTGCTCCTCCCAGACCCCCGGCAGGTGGGCAGCACAGGAGATGACTGACCCTCAATAATGAAGGAATCTGCAGCATCCTGGGCCCCAGCGGAGCTGGACAGACCCTACCCTAGTTAGTCCAGGGCAAGACCCCCTTTTCCTCCTTTCCTCAGATGCAATTCTCCCCCAAACCAGGCCACTCCATGGTGAGGCAGAGGTCACACTGCCCAGGAAGTGGGTTCAGTGGGTCTCAGCATCCCCCAGCCTCGGAACCAAGACTGACTGAGTCTCTGATTTGCCCTTTTTCTTGCCAGCTGCCTACGCCGCCTCAGGCACTCACCTCAGACCCGGGGGAAATGGACTCTGAGGGCATCCAGGCTGGAAGAATTACTGCAGGCCTGAAAGCCAAACTCCTTTCTGGGCTCCTGAGGAAATTGAGTCCCAGCGAGGGTCGCAGCTTGCCCAAGGACATGGAACATGGTGTGCAGTCTGGCTCACGGCCCAGAGCTTTTTCTAGGGGATCCTGGTGCTTCGGCCCACATGTTCACACCCCATGTCTTCAGAACACTAACCCCTCACAGCTGCTTGGCACTCACTACATATCTCTAAACTCAGTGCCAGCTCATGGAGATGGGGACTAGGCTTCCTAGCAAACCTGGAACTGGCCTGACCCTACCGGCTACAGTACGGACTAAACAAGTGGGTATGCACTGCTGTGGCCAGGGACTTAGCCTGTGGAGTTCCAGAGCTTCACCTCCCCACCACAACTGAACTCTCCCCACATCTGTAACTGGCACAGCCCTTGGCATGTAGTGTGTGCTTGGCAGAGAGAACAATGTTCCAGCAATGTAGCCACCACGATGCTCCTGATCAGCCAGCTTGCCCTGACCGGTTGGAATGTCTATCAGAGCCTGAATGTCATTCATTCCTTTTTTTTCAGGGGCCCACCAGGGCAGAAGTTGTACCCAACATACATATATGGAGAGAATGAATGAATGAATGAATGAATGAATGAGCAGATGGCTCCCAACTACAGCCTAGGCTGTCACCTTTGCCCTGCCTCTGGAATTGCCCAAGCTACCTGTACACCTGTTCTTAGAAGCTTTGGAACCTGGACTCCTGGTCAGCCATGCTATTCTTCTCAAAAGCAGAGACAGGTCATGGGACAAGTGGACTTAACCAGCAGGGACTACAGACTAGTCACTCCCCATGGGCTCAGGGGGGACAATGAAGAGCAAACCCACGTGCTCCTGACAGGCTGTGGAAGCTGAGCCAGAGCCCTTGCTCATGCCCTGGGACCCTCCAGCATATCTTTCCTTCATCTCCTTCATCTTCTTCCTCCTGTGGGCTGCTTCTTGCTGCCTTCACAAGGAATGTGGCAAAGTGGTCCAGGCCCTAGGCTTTAGGGTCAAGATCTCTAGGCTTAGATTCTTGTTCTGTCTCCTCATAGCTCTAAGAGACGACTGTAGACCTCAGTTTCTCCATATGGATAATGGAGATAGCAAAAGTACCTACATTTTAGGGTTATTCTGAGACGTGGTAGAAAGAGCAATCACATGCAGCCCTACCTGGGAGCACCTGTGTCCCAAGCACCCAATATCAATGCAGCCATCATTTGAGTGATAGTGTCTGAACTGAAGCATTCAGAGCAAGGCCTGGCGCTCACCGAGAGACAGCTGTCACACCTGCCATCTGCAAACCAGGAAGCAGAAACTTGTCCAAGCCCTGCCTCAAGGCTCCAGACGGGCTGCGTGCTTCCTGCAGGTCTGAGTCATAGGCCACAGTCCTACCGGAGTTATGGGCTGCAGCAGCCATCACTGTTAGACAAATATGTATGTACCTGACTGTGTGTATGTACCTCGTGGGCTTGGGGACTTCCGGGCTGAAGTCGGCCTCTAGACTACATGTCGGAGCTCTTCTTTCTGCTTCCTGGAGCCCCCAAGGGAGCCCCTGTTCCCCAGTTTCTGCCCTTCCCTGACCTGTCTCCTCTCAGGAATGTGGTTTCCAGATCCACTGCAAGTTTGCATCTGTCCCCAAAGCTCCCGAAGCTGCGACACACGGTCTCAGATGGTACAGTATTAGGTCTGGAGTCACACTGAACATTTTGCCTCCATGAGTTCACTGCTAGGTGAAGCCTGGCTTGGCTGTGCCTTCAGACACCGGGACAAGGACACCGAGCTTTCCAAGAGTCAAAGCTACTAGAGCAAGACTCTCCCTAGCTTTGTTCTCTGGGACTGAAGACCTGGCTGGCTCCTGGTGCTTGTGGATCTGAAGGCCATTCTAACAGGGTCCTTCCCAGGGCTCTCTAGTACCTCCTCTTGCTTTACAAGCAGTCTTCCAGCTGTTCACTGCAGACCGCGCTGGCTAGTCTCCTCACCCAGATGATCTGGAATATTCCTCTACGGACAAGACAACTAAGGCCCCAGAGAGATTAAGGAAATCTCTTGGCCAGGCGGCGGTGGCACACTCCTTTAATCGCAGCACTCTGGAGGCAGAGGCAGGCGTATCTCTGAGTTGGAGGCCAGCCTGATCTACAGAGGGAGTTCCAAGACAGCCAGGGCTATACAGAGAAACCCTGTCTCAAAAAAACGAAAACAAAACAAAAACTCTCTTAAGTTCACAACACAGCACACTGAGGCTCAGCTGGGGCCTGCACTTCTGACTAGTACGTCCTGGTGTCTACCCAGTTTCTAGGGAAGCTCTTTAGCTTGGAGAGAGACCAGGTTTCATGCAGAGGCAAGGGTATGCATGGGAAGGACGCCTAGCAGAGCCTGCCTGGTACAGCTCAGAGAGCAGGGCCCTGCATAAAGCCAGAGGTGCTCAGAGCAACTGTCGCCCGCCCCTTCCTTCTCTCCAGGGATGCTGTTCTGACGAATACCATTTCCAGTGAACTGGAACGCTGGGTCGGAGTTGACCAAGCTGACTACTATCCTCACTTGGTAAGAAGGGTTAACTGGTTCATGCCAGAAAACAGTGTGGTACTCCCAGAACTTCCTATGAACTGTGGGGGCGGGGCGCGCTGGGTATAAGGGCTTTTCTCTGCTCTCACAGGAGGGGGCTTTCAGAACATTGAGCCATTCATTGGGCCGTTTGTGCATGAAGAGAGGAAGCTGGAGCAGGGATCTTCAGCTAGTAACCATGATGGTTAATCTTGGTCGTTAAATGGACAGGATTTAAAATTACCACAGAAACACACCCTTGAGTGTGTCTCCGAAGGCACTTCCACAAAGGTTCACCTGAAGAGGGAAGGCTCACCCTGAAGGTGAGTGGCATCATCTCACAGCCTGGGGCCCTGAACTGACTGGAAAGGAAAAGGTGAGCTGAGCACAGGCATCTGCTTCTGCTTCCCGACTATTGGTTCCTGACTGCAAATTCATCATCCCCGGCTGCCTTATGTTCCCACAGCCATGACTGCCTACCACAATGGATGGCGCCCTCCAACTAGGAGCCAAAACAAACACTTCCTTAAATTGCTTTTGACAGACTATTTTGCCACGGTAACAGGAAAAATAACTAATACCGTAACCCATGTGGGCCTCTCCTCCCTCTATAAAAAGGGGAAGAAGTAAATTAAAATCCGAGACAAATTGTTCCCGGGCTCCCTCACAGCGGAGGAGGCTGTTGGCAAATGTGAAGCCTCACGGCACAGCCCAAAGTCACCATCCAGGTGGAATAGATCACTGACAGCTCCTATTTTACATTACCAGTGCATACACATTTTGTATTCTATTCCAAATATTCTGTCTGTTTAACATATAAATATTTGTCTTAAAATAGTCTTTGAATCAAATTGACACTCCAAGAAAATGTCATGGGGCTTCCTGTCACTCAACCAAGGAATTCCAGTTTAAAAAAAAAAAAAACAAGAAATGAAGATTTATTTTTTTTAAACAATCACACATGCCAAATGCTGTGCGTGTACTGTACATGCAGCTGCCATTTCATCTGCACAGAAATATCAGAAGTTGGTACTATTATCATAACCTGATTATTATTAAGGAAACTGAGACTCAGAGAGGTTGAGTAAGTTGTCAAAGGTCACCCAGCCAATGGAGTACAGAGCCAAATCACCTTCATGGTTTCTATCTACCCTAAGGCCAGGAATAAGATCGAGTCGTCTCAGAATCCCAGAGCCCGTCTCTTCACACTGAGGGCCGAGAGTCTCCCATATGGTGAATGTCTAAGAAGCGGCTTAGCTTGACCAGAGACCTATGACCTAGGGTCGGGCTGGGCATGTGCTCCGGACAGACTCACAGGGCCGAATGAATGCACTTGCCAGGTTGTCCATGGAGCCACCACGGGACACCAATCTACTGGCCCCAGACTGCTTCCCCGACCAATTTGGAAATGACCAGAAAGGCACGTGGACAGACAGACTTTCTCCCAGGTCCCTGCAGGATCAGAAGGCCACCATACTTTGTGAAAACTGCCTGGAAGCCTTCACTGCACCCCACGCCACATTGGGACATTATAAAATGCTTGTCATATAAACACAATCTCTTTTTTTTTTTTTTTCCCAGTGTTGGGATCAAACCCAGGGCTCTGTCATCAACCCTATCCCCACTGTATATTTTTTCGCAGCAAAATATCTACACCCCTAAAAAATGTTGCCTCAACTAGCACAACTGAGATTCCTCCAGGCCAGCAACGCTTTTCCAGACTTCAACAACCCCTCCCTGCAGGGCATCTCTAGCTCCTCCCCCAGCCTGCAGACCACTGGCTGAGTGCTCTACTTTTCCTGACTTGGGAAATGGGAGAGGTAGAGAGCTGGTGCAGGCGGAACCATCAAGGATCTGTGTTTCCTGTGCAGAATCAGCACATGGCTCCTTCCCAGAATACCTTTCCAAGGCCTCCCAGTACACTGCTCGCCAGGGTCCAGATGCAAATGCCTGGGTTTGGATCCCGACCCCACCTTGAGTCACATTTCCCCAAATTTTCCATCCTGTACTCTTGGCTGGAGAGGAGGGTTCATGGAAGGGTAAGTTGTGAGACCGTGGAAAGCATCCAGGTTCTCAACCTGTGGGTTGCAACCCTACTACAGGTCCCATATTGGCTATCTGGCACATCAGATATTTACCTTATGATTCATAACAGTAGCAAAACTACAGTTATAAAGTATCAATGAAATAATTTTATGCTTAGGGGGGTGGGGGTCACCAAAACATGAGGAACTGCATTTGAGGGTCGCAGCAGCATTAGAAAGGTTGAGAACCACAGCTCTAGGTCTGCTCTTTTCACACTGTGAAATAATGTTATCACCTGCAGTGTTCATGAACAAGATCTATGCAATACAGTCACAAAAGTTAAAAATAAATTGCAAAACAACACACACACACACACACACACACACACACACACACACACACACACAAAACCAGTCACGTTTTAGGGCTGGAGGGATGGTTCGGCAGTTAAGAGAACTGTCTGAAGACCCAGGATCAGTTCCCAGAACCCATATGGCTGCTTACAACCACCCATAACTCCATTTTCAGAGAGTCCAGGGTCCTCTCTGGCCTCCGAGGACACCAGACATGCACTTAGTACACTTACACGTGTCCCCAACACACATAAAATTAAAATAAATCAATCTTTTCAAGATGTCGTGTTTTAAGTACGTTTGTGATTTTGTGTTGGGCCGTGTTCATGGCTATCCTTGGCCACAAGTGGCGTGCAGGCCGCAGGTTGGACACATCCACATATTGGTCCAGATGGAGCCCTGGGTTTAGCAAGTGTCCGTGAACCAAAGACGGCTCCTGCTATTTCCTTTCTCAAGACCCGTGTTCACACGGGGCTCTTTGCTCCCTTATCCATCTGATAGGTTTTATTGGGAGCCCAGGTTCTGGCATGCTGGCCTCAGCGCATGCCTCTTCTGCTGGCTGCTCATGCACTGGGACTACAGATGTGCCACCCCAGCTGGCTTCTGAAAGCAATACATGGTGAGCTAGAAAACCCTTGCATTTTTAGTTTTGCTGGTCTTTGGTTCTGACTTCACGGGTTCCAGCTGACTGAACTTTCTGGATTTTTGTTCTCTGTTCCTTTATCCACATTGCTTCGTGTTTAAAAAATGAAGCCAGTCAAAAAAAATCAATAAATAAAATGACTTATTTCCAAAGGAAAAGTTACGCTGTTCCAATGTATCTATGGCTTCAATGTTAATTTTTTTTCCTCTGATAGGTGGTGAGATAAATTCATAAGCTAAAGTATGTACACGCCCCACCCTGCCCCTCCAGAGCTGGGCACTGTCCGGGGAAGCCACGCCCACAGTATGTCCTGCTTATCAGAAGCCGAAAAATCCAGGCTGTGGCGGTGGGTACAACAGTGAGGGTCTGCTCAGCAGGCCAGGCCTCCCTACCTTTGGTGTCTTCATCCTCGATGGTGGTGTTGGTGCTCTCGGAAGACTCCTGCCAAAGAGAAGAGGGGGCCGGTGATGAGGGCCTGGCGACGGGAGGGGCTGGGTCAGCTTGGCGACCTGGCTGCCTGGTGATGCGCTGGGCTCTGTGGCTTCCCAGGCTCTGTGGTCCAGATGCTTTAGACAAACCCTGCCAGACCCTCCAGCCTGAGGGGACCCAGCTAAGCAGGTGGCTGAGGCAGGGCTCCTATGAAGCAGTACCTGCAAGGAGATCCCTGGCCTCTCGGGGGGCGGGGGGGGGTGCTGAGAGGGGCTTCCTAGGTCCTTTCTGCTCAGGAGGCAAAGAAAGGGTACAGAAGAGCAGAAAGACACTGTGGGAGCCACAGAATGGGGGAGGAATGCACACACCGGCAGGAAAAGAAGAGAGAGAGAGAGAGGCAGGCCCGGGGTGAGAGAGGGTGGGCTTTTCAGAGGGGAGAAAAACCGCGCAACCGAGACAGTCGTGGAACCAGAAGAAGAGGGACGTGGGCCACCGTGCCACCCCTGGCACTCTTGACAGAGGCAGGGCTGTGGTTCCTCTGCTGAAGTGGCCCGCACAAGCTCAAGGAGCCCCCATGATGCTTGCTTCTCTGGCCAAAGCAAGCCCCACCCTAGCAGCAAACGGTACAAACCAAGCCCTGAGATGAGCAGAGGGCGTGGGAGAAGCAAGAAGCCAAGGGCTGGACTTGGTTCAAATCCACCTTTGGATTGGAGGAAGGCCTTGGATCTGCTGTTGGCCTGCTGGTCTGGGCCATGGAATTGGAGGTGTCAACAGAAACACGCAAACAACACACACACACGCACACACACACACACACACAAAACACACACGTATTGTCACACAATGCACACGTACCACGCATGCCCTGAGCACACTCTCCCCGCCCCCGGGTTCCTGTGCAGCCTGCAGGAGGGAGGCAGGAGCGAGGGAGCGAGGGTCTGAGGCCCAGCATTTACCGGTGTTTGGGAGACGGCGGACACTCACCATTAACTGAACGCTGGAACTGGACTTTCTTTTCTGGAAAAACAAGGAGAAGAGATGGGACAGGAAAAGACACCGCATGAAAAGAGCAGGGAGGTTAGGAAGGAGGATGGCCTCAGGGCCATCCTCTGTGGTCCTTTCTGATCAGCAACATGGGGACTGGCAAATTCTGGGTCCTCCAACGCCTGGACCTGGTTCTATAAATCTAACATCTGAGGCCAAGTCTGCCTTCAACTAGGGCTTTCTACTATCCCTCACTCTGACAGGGAAGTTAGTCTTGGCTCTTAGATGCTGGCTGTCTGTTCATTTTAGGGGACAGTAGGGTGCTCAGACCTGGACATGAGCCCCAGACTCTCCATGCATGTCTGCTTAAGCAGACCCCACTCTCTAACATCTTGTCACTGGGAAGCTTGCCTTTCAATTTTTTGTTCTTTCTGAAGCCTAAGGCCTTAGGTATACCAGCAAGTTCTCTGTCACTGAGTCCTATACAAAAGCGGGTCCTCTCGAAGGACTTTGATTAAGTCTTGGTGGGACTGGTCACGTCCACTCTCAAGAATATTCTCAGGTGACCCTGGGGATACCTTTGCGATCATCCCGTCTGTGTTCACAGCTTCTCAGCGACTGTGTTATTCAGCTCCCGTATGCTGACAGGGAAACTGAGGCGCAGGCAGAAGTCTGGAACCTGAGTCTAGCGGTTCTGCCGGTTGGCCTAATCCAGTCTTTGTGGGCTGCACCAGCCATGTGTTAGCTTTGGGGTCCAGGGAAGAGGTGGGGACAAGGGGGTCTGCTTCTCCTTCACTCAGTTCTCAGAGCCAGGCATCCTGAAGACTTACTCATAGAGTAATACAGGTCCTGAGTGACACTTAAGTCCAGAGAAGACAGATGGGGCCCTAAGAGGGATGGTGGTCTTCACAGGCTCTCTCAGAAGTCAACAGCTATGCTAAGGGAAACACAGGGGCTGAGGGTAAGGCTCTTCCTTCTGTCCAGGATTCCAAACAGACTCCTCAAAGGCTCGTGCTAGCTTACCTCCCTGCTGGAGAGCCAGGAGCCCCTTGCCTATCAGCCCACGAAGAAAGTGAAGGAGAGACTTACGGCCTCTCCAGTGTAGGCCTGTGCTACAATACACACTGGATAGGCCTTGAGAGACTCAGGTTAGATTTGGGGCTTCCTGTTTTTATAATCCAGTAAGCATCTGTATGCTAGGGCCTAAATGTGTGCCTTTTAAGGGCCTCCACACACTAGGCAATATACCTTGCTGGAAATTTCGATCTCATGTATTCAGGAGGCATGAATGCCCACCTTCTTAGGTGGCTGGGTAGTGTGGCTTCATTGCAAAACACTGCAACTGCTCTCTCCTCTCCTCTCCTCTCCTCTCCTCTCCTCTCCTCTCCTCTCCTCTCCTCTCCTCGCCTCTATGCTGGCCTCCCTCCATGGCTGCAGCTTGGCCACAGACAGTATGTGAGGAAGGGGGACAGGCCCATAGAGCTCAGCTGTCAGCAGAAACCCGAGGAGGCCCACATGGGCCAGAAGGTTCCAGGTGGAACATGAAGAGGAGACACAGAGCAGAGACTGTATCAGATTCGGACGTACAGTGACAGGATGGGACATGGGGGGGGGGGACGACGTCACGGATGCGACACCAACAGGGCAGTGAGTGAGGTGAGGGGTGGGAGCAGTGGACTCCTGTGGAAACCGAGGCCTAAAGGAGGCCAGGGCTGGGCACTGCTTCTGGAGGACAGAGATTCTATCTCCTAGAAGCACCAATGAGGTGACCACCATCTTGACCAGCACTTGAGAGTTGGATTGAGAGGGGTTCGTCAGCAAAAGTAGAGTCGTCTCTCTTAGAACCGCCAACGGAAGCTGGTTCTAAGGTCGGCAAGGGTTGCAGAACGGCAGTATTTTGTCAATCTCAGCCCTGAAGAGCCCGTAAAGGCCCAAGAAGCTCCTGTCACTCAGGCCCAGCAGCCCTTCCCTTGGTGACAGAACAGGCCCTTAGCCTCTCCATTAAGCTCCACATAGATCCGTTTGTCTCTCAGCACACAATTGTAGAAAGAGCACAGATTTCGCTCCCCCCCTCCTTAAGCTGGGTGTGTGTCTGCATGATGCAACTTCCCAGGGGTCTCTCTGGTGAGGCCATCTCACCAACCTTTGGAAACAACTCTCTACTCTCCTGGTAGAGGTAGCAGGACCAGGACCAACCCCTGGAAAGAAGGAACAGCGAGGCCCCCATTCAACCCCATGGCTTTCTGACTTGAGGATTTGAGAGTATGTAACTGTCACCTCCCCAAGCCCTGCTGTCCTCTCCACTCCATGGAGGAGCAAGGTATAGCCAGCTGTTCCCCCAAGTTCCAGGCCAGACCCAAATTACTCTTCCCTCCTCCATTTCTAGGAAAGGAAGGAGGTTGTGCGAGAAGAGGACACTGGGCCAGGGACAACAGTAGAGTCTCTCTTCATCCACACCTAGGCCACCCTAAGAAGTCATTTAGGGTAGGTCCTGCCCTGAAGGAAGCAGGGACATTTTGTCCAGTTGTACTCGCTGGAAAGCACCCTGGTAACGAGCAAAGCATCATGCTGCAAGTCCTACCTTCTGCCTCTGTCCAAGAGCAGCTGGATCTGGAGTTTCAGCCCTAACCCTGGCCCAACATGAGCCTTTCCTGACCCCAAACCCAGTAGCTCTTCAACAATCTGCTAGAGCCAATCCAAGAGCCAGGCAGACCATGGCACCTCAACTCAGCATCTACACATTGTGGGTAGAGAGGGTCCGCAGCCACCTTACACCTGCAGCCCCATGTGGTATATATCCCTCTAGCACCCATTTCAAGTTGAGAGCAAAAGTTGGCTCAAGGACACTCAGAGAGCAGACCAGAGTCCACCCCAACACGTGTGTTCACTCTATGACAAGTCCGTGTTAGCTTTTCGTCTAAGGGTTCCAAGTGTTCGCTTGAGCGTGCTTTGTTCTCAAGACAAAACGAAGCCTGACACACGCAACAGGAAAGGTACTCCTGACTCAACGACGTCTCGTGCGTGTGAGCACTGCTCACACGGTCAACATGTGTTAGCCCAGCTGATCCTCACAGCCAGCCAAGGAAGAGGGAGGGAAGGAAGCACAGTCCCGGGACTTGAACCAGCCAAGCCCCAGCTGTCAGTAACCCTCCCTTCTCATGGACCCACCATGATGACTTTGGCATGAACTTGTTGAGGTTGCAGGAATCCCAGGACCTGGGTCTTCCCAGTCTAGTCCTCCTCAACTCCACCTGCTGCCAGAGGAACCTCCCCAGAATATTTGGGTTCCAAGAGTTCATTGTGAAAAGCCTTGATTTTTTTTTTCTTCTAATAACCAAATAATTGTGTCTAGTCGTGTGTTTCTTAATGCCAGGGACATAGTCTGAGAAATGTATCGTGAGAAATTATGCCACCTATGCAGGTATCATACAGTGACTTGAGGGCATATGATATCTCTAGTGTTCCTAGGCTCCAAATCCTCACAGCATGTTACTATGCCAAATCCAGTATGCATGTGTAATACATGGTAAGAAAGTCTAAGCATGCCTGGGTATGGGGAGGGCCTGATACAGTGGTGTACACCTGTAATTCCAGCCCTCTGGAGGCTAGGCCAAACAGGTGGAGAGTTTAAGGTTGACTTGGGTTGCATGATGAGATCCTATCTGAAAATGGGAAAGTGAAGGAAAAATGGAGGAGGGAAGAGAAAAACCACTAGGCAATAAATAGGAACTTCACGGCTCCACTGTAGTCTTTGAGGATCACCATTGCACATAAAGTCTGTCGCTGACCAAGCATCGTTCCACAGCATGTGGCCACAGCCCCTCAGGCACACGAGATGAGAAGGGAGAATGGCTAGATTTGGGAGAAAGCTTGCTCTTTGGTATGTTTTCAGAGCTGAAATCTCAGAAATGATCACCAAGTCCACATCCCACCTGAGGCACCTAAGAGACCCTCAGGTGGAATAAAGGGGGATGGACAAAGGGGGAAAGCCCAATTCTGGCCTGACACCCAGCCCAGACTCTCCCCATGCAGTCCCAGACAGTTCATAGCCATTCTGGTTGAAGCTGTGCAGCCGCCAGCATACACCGAATGGCCTGGGCGGCCATTCAGGACCTCACACCTTCTAACGTCCTGGGTAGGTGGGTACAGAGTCCAGAATAAGGCAGTCTCCAGAGATGAGACCCCCCCCCCCCCCCGCCGTGAGGCAGTCAGGTAGCAGAGGGGGAGGGGGCTGCAGAGAGCCAAGGGACTAGGCCCCAGACAGCAGAGGGAGAAGTGAGAAGAAACAGGAAAGAGCAGCCAGCAGGGTGTGGAGAGAGGTAGCTTGGGCATCAAGGGTGGGCACAGGGGACAGGCATTGTTGGAGAAGAGGGCCTTCTGGGACCCAAAGCCTGGTAAAATAGCTGCCCATTCTCCATGGGTTACAGGCTACACTAGTGTACGCACAGGTCAGAGCCCATCCAGTCCCCTCACACTTTGGGCAGGATGAGGTCACCTTAGTGACCATTTCCGTCCCTTTGGTACCCTCTTGTCACAGCCCCGTAGAGCCCCAGACGCTTCCTCAAGATCTGCCCCTTGACTGGGCTCCAGGCAACCCAGGCCACCTGCCGTGCCCAATCTGCTCCCAGGAAACATGGTGAGAGGTGGGCCCCGGAGCACAAACTGGGCGATCTGGGGAGAGCTTGGCCCTGGATCCGACATGTCGCCGTGAGCGAGGCCAGGGCTTGCCCAAGGCCTGACAGCAGGTCTCTGGCAGAGACAGGCCTGCGGGCTCCCGGGGACTTACCTTCACACCATCGTTCTTCTTGTTCCCTCCACTCTTCCCTCCTGTGGAGGAGAGAAAGTAGAGCGTTAGCAACACCAGGCAGGGCACCAGAGCCCACAGGGTGAGGAAGAGCAGCATTTGGGCGCAGCAGGGCGGCCGGCCGAGAGCAGTGGCCGGTGGACTCTCTGGGAACAGAGCTGGCTTGGCCACCAAACGGGAGACTTCCTCTTCCTCCTCTCCGTCCACTGGTCTTCCACCTTCCACTCCCTCTTCAACAGAGTGGGCCCGCGATCCCCAGTTCTCAGCAGTCTCAGGGATAGATAGCCCTGGGACTTGGGGGCTGGGAGAGGTGTCCCAACGTGTCCCGGGACTGTAAGATTGCTGTTTGAGCCCGGGGATTCCCTCTGGATCCCTGTCACCAAGGCTGTTGGTCGCCAACTCAGAGGCCTGCAGCCCGATTGAGGGCTGGAAGCTCGCTGCTTTGGCCCCCACCTGCCCTGGCCCTCTCTAATTTTAGCCCCATGCTGCTGCTGAGGTCATGTGTCAGCCCTGCCTACTCAGTCTGGACAGCTGCAGACTGCATTTTGCTGGTGACAAGAAGCAGATGTCCCCCTGCTGGGGCCCACCCTTGCCTGCCAGAACACTCCTTCTTCTCTGCCTTCTCAGCAGCACAGACCTAAGTTCAGCCTCTGGAATCCCACTCTAGGGCTGGCTGCTGAGTCCTGGTGGTAGGCAAAAGCCCAGGCACCGCTCTCACGGAGGCTTGGACCGTGCATTTCCCTTTTCCTCCCTCATTTCCTGACTGGAGCCCTGGCAGTGGGTATGAGACGGAAGGTAGCATGAATGCCCAGCTCTGCCCTGCCTGGTATTTGACCACTTCAGACCTTTAAAAAATGCCCTAAATGAGACAATGGTTCTATGAAGTGCTTAGCACAGCGTTCAGGATATATATAGTCGGCCCTCGATGACATTTATGATTAGTCCTTCTCCAGGGAGTCCCAAGAGGGTGAACTGGAGATGGAGGTGGGGGCGTTGAGGGTACAGGACACCGATGCCCCAGGGGTCCGAAGGGATGAGCTCACAGATGCCCCAGCTCTCAGTCCCTCTATAACTGCATCTGTGACACCTCAAAACTCCCAAAGGGTAGAGGTCACTTCTGTGTGCCATGCCTGAAAGTCTCTCTCTCTCTCCAGGCTGTACAAGTGGGACCAGAATGCACAGCAGGGGAGAGTGTTCACCTTGGGGACTCTCTGCTCCAGGCCACTGTCGTACAGGTTTGTGTCCAATGTAGCCAGACCCTGATTTTCTTTTCTTTTCAGAATAGGCCTAGACTGGCCTTGATTTACCGTGTGACCCTCTGATCTTCTTGCCTCTATCTTCTGAATCCTGGGATTACAGCCATGTGCCACCACACACATGGGTGGCTGGCTTTTTGTATGTTTTGGTTTTTTGTTTTTCCATTCAAGGTTTCTCTGTGTAGCCCTGGCTGTTCTGGAACTTGTTCTGCAGACCAGGCTGCCCTTGATTTTTATTTGGTATTAGAGAAGAGCTCAAGGCTTCAGCCAGACAGTGGTGGCTCACACCTTTAATCCCAGCACTCAGGAGGCAGAGGCCAGGGGATCTCTATGAGTTCAAGGCCAGCCTGGTTTACACAGAGAATCCCTGTCTTGAAAAAAAAAAAACAAAACAAAAAACAAAAAACAAAAAACCAAACAAATAAGAAATCAAGGCTTCATGCATGCTAGGCAAATACTTTACAATCTAAGATACATCCCCAGTTCCCAGAATGATTTTCAAAAGATCACAGAAATCTCTCTCTCTCTGTCTCTCTCTGTGTGAAATCTCTTGATTTGTGTGTGTGTGTGTGTGTGTGTGTGTGTGTGTATGTGTGTGTGTGTATAAAAAGTTGACGTGTGTATGTCTGTGTACACACATGTGGATGTGGCTAATGTTGGATACCTCCCTTGATCACATTCTTCCTTTTCTGGGGTAGGGTTGGGGGACAGGGTCTCCCTATGTAGCTCTGGCTAGAACTTTCTATGTAGACCAGAATGACCTCAAACTCACAGAGATCCACCTGCTTCTCTGCCTCATGAGTGCTAGGATTAATTAAAGGCATATGCCACCAGCTCCCCCTTGTTTTTTTGAGTCAGGGTTTCTCTCTGAACCTGAAGTTTACTGATCTGCTAGACCAGGTGGCCAGCTCACCTCGTCTCTGTGTCCCAGTGTTGGGATTACAGGTAGGTACTGACACATTTAGCTTTTCACATGGGTGCTGGGGATCTGAACTCGGTTCCTCATGCTAGCCCTCAGGCACTTTACCCAGGGAGCCATCTCCCCAGGCCCCAAATCTTTGATTTTTAATGGTTAGAAATCTATTTCCTCAATTTGTCTTTTCTTTCTTCTTTCTCTCTCCTCTTCCTTTTTGGAAACCAAAGTCAGGTCCAAAAATCCTTCTTCTGTTTTAAAGATTCGTTTAGCTCTTTATGTGTGTTTGTATGAATGCATATGCACCACACTGTACGGAACCTCATGGACGCCAGAAGAGAGTATTAGATCCCCCAGAATTGGAGTTACAGGCAGTTGTGAGCCTCCATGTAGATTCTGGGGACCAAGCCTTGGGTCCTATGCAAGAGCAATAAATGCTCCTAACTGCTGAGCCATCTCTCTAGCTTTCCTCTGCCACTGTCAGGTAAAAATAAATAAAAACAAAACAAAAACAAAAAACACTTCTCCTCACAGCCCTGGCTTACCAAGCCATGGGCCCCTGTTCTGTGGGCTTGAGACTGGTATTCTCCGGGGTGCTATAATTGTAAAACAACAAAACGAAACAAACTCTATGTAGCTCAACTTTCTGTGTTCAGTGAAAGGAATGGCCAGATCCATGACTGAGGAGAGTTCACTGTGGATGCAGCCCCTTCTGAAGCTGGACCTTCTGCTGGGCCATCATATAGGCAGACCCTCCTAGGGGGCCCAGGCCTGCCCTCTGCTCAGAAGTGACCCCTGGCTGCAGTTGGCCTGTCTGTACATGCAGCTGTCTGTGCTGGCCCAGCCCCGGTGCCAGGGCCCTTCCAGTGAGCTCTGTCGCTTCCACTATTATATCTGCTCTGCTGCGCCGTCAGCACCCAGGACTCCCTAGGGAGAGGCCTGAAGCGGCACTGGCCCGTCACTGACCCTTGTGCCAAGAGGAGTTGCTAAGCTCTGACAATAATCCCTTTCCCTCCTGTTTGGAGCTACATGCCCAAGTCCTTGGCCACTCCCTGCCTGGGAGTCTCCTGCCCTGGGCTCCTGGGTAACCCAGCCTAGATAAAAGCACCTGCTCTGAGTTGGTCAGACCTGTGCTGAAGACAGGTTCTGCCTCTCTTGAGTTCTGGGACCTGGGAGGAGACAGAGAATACTCTCTTAAGCTTTTATCATCCCACCTGGAAAAAGGGGGGGAAGTGTCACCCCACTGCTTGTTGTGAAGCAACCTGAGCTGAAGCTAAGTGCCTGTTGGTTTATGGCTCTAAAGTCTGACCCTTCCTGTTGGACGAGACCACAATAACTGTCTGCCCCTCTAGCTGGCCTGGCCTGAAAACCCCAGTGCTGCTGAGGACTGGGAAGTCAGACTGAACTCTAACAAGGCCTTGGTTTGCTGACTTTTAATCTCTTCTTTCCTTTCTCCGTGCCGACTGTGATAGGTGAGCTGAGCCTGGATCATGTATCCTCTGCAACCCTTCTGGGGGACACCTGACTACCCAACAGTGCAATGGCATCCAGCAGACCGGTACAGGAAGTCCATCCCGTACCGGGGACTCCAGCCCGCCACCTACCGGAGAAGTTCCTGGTGGCCAGCATAGTGGTGAGGATGGCTCCCTGCAACAGACAAGATGGGGGCCCAAGAAGAGGTACAGGTGAGGGGGGGAGCGTAGAAGGAACAGAAGGGCACGGGGAAGAGCAGGGCAGTGTGCTCTTCAGAGACAAGCCAAAGCCTCTGCCCCTGCCCCTCCATTTGACCCCACCCCACCCTCTAGCCCAGAGCCCATCCGCCCTCCCTGGAGGAGTAGCTTTGGCAGGCACAGGTCTTGAGACAGGAGCAGACGTTAATAGTTCCCGCGGTCTGGCCCAAACGAGTAGACTCCAAAACACTCGAGCAGGGGCTCCTAACGGCTACAGAAGTTTCCTGCCTAGGTCGGGAAGGCCAACTGGGCTCGGGCTGCTCTAGGCTTGGGGGACCTGGCTCTGGAATCAGTCCTTCCCTCCACGGCCCCTGGACCATAGCCTGGAGAATATCAACTTGGAGAAGTGCCCCCTGTGGGTGAGGGGCTGGAAACCAGGGCCCAATGGGTCTCATTAAGACCTGACTCAGACCACCTCCAGATCCAACAGCCCCTCAAGTTAAGAATCCCAGATTCCCACACTGGGAATCTTCCTTCTTCTGGGACACCTCCCACGGTGGGTGGGAGTGGGGACTCAGTTTATCTGGCATAGTGCCAGTCGTCACCCTGTAGGTTCAAGTCCCCATCCTGAGCCTCCGTCCCAGGTCCGGGAGCAGCAGGTAAGGGAGGTCCCAGTGAGCCAAGGCCTCCACATCGGCCACCGTCAGTGTCCCCATCAAGCACGCTGACGGCTAGCTGTCCTAGAGAAGCCTTCTTAGCCTGCCCAGTGCAGGACCTGCTGAGAAGACTCAGCTCAGGACCCACCTTGATTCCATAGTGACTTTCTCAGGACCCCCCCCCCCCCCCCAACCTATCTCTGACGGACTCATTCATTCTTCCTCCATGTTCAACAACTGAGATTCTCTCTCTCTCTCTCAACTGTGGTTTCATGTCTGGTCACATGTTGCGCCCCCCCCTCCCCCCCCAAAAAAAACTCTCTTAAACCATTCCTGGTTCCCTAGAGAATAGTGCTCACGCTTGCAGACATCTGTACAGGCCATGCTGTCTGGAACACGCCCCCCCCCCCCCCCCCCCCCCCCCCCCCCGCCCTTGTCACTCTACACCTCTTTGTCCTGAAGAGTCAACTCAAACGCCACTGCCTCCAGGAAGGGCTCTTGAAATCCTTCCCAGAATCCTCCAGACCAGGGAACTCCATCCCCCTGCTGTGTTACCCACCGTTGGGCACAGTACTCACCATGCCCCAGCAGAGTCCTGCTTATCTGACCCCTCAGTCAGAGTGCAGACAGGGTGGGGTGGGGTCAGACTGGCTGCTTGCTCCCCCAAACCCTTGGTGGCCAGGGTGCAAGAGTGTCCGGTAAACACACAGGAAAGGGGAGGAGCTAGTGGGTCCAGGGACGCCAAGGATCAGGACCGGTTACCTTCAGTTTCCTCCGGGCATTGAACTTCTTCAGGCAGTCCACGGTCTCCTGTCTGTGCATGCAGGAGGCCACGGTGGAGCGGTGCTGGAGAGAGGATGAGAACTGTGTGAGCAGAAGGCCTGTGGGAGGACAGACCAACCCAGTCCTTCACCCTGCCACATGGGATGGGGTGGTTAGGATCCTGGCACCAGTCAGCCAATGCCAGTGACATGCCCCAAGATGATGCCAACCCGGAATATCCCTCATTTCTATATTGCCCCTGAGACCCACAGCGAGCCAGAGATTCTTGGATAAAGCCCCCTTGTAGTGGGTAGCCATTCCAGCTTTGATCTGGAAGTTCCAACCCCTATTCAGGCTTCGGTAACTGTCACGCCTACAAGGCAGGGCCGAGAGAGGACCCTGAAGACCTGAGATCCGGATGCACTGGCCCTCTTGGTTCCTGGACCCTGGACGCTGGAGGTAGACCAAGCAGAGTTCTCCAGAGAACACCGCCAGACTGCGCTACGTCTTCCCCAGACCCTGTAACCTACCTATTCCTTCACTTGTAAGTTGCCCCACACAATAAACCTCCCTTTTAACTACGTGGAGTGGCCTTAATAATTTCACCAATACCCCCTCAAGCCTACACTGAGGCCGTGGGGTGAAGGACAAGACCCTGAGGGACCAGGCCTCCCTGCCTGGGCTGGGCTGAAAAAGTCTCACCGAGATCCAGGGGTGCTTGAGAGCCTCGGCGGCCGTGATGCGCTTGGACGGGTTGATGGTCAGCATCTTATTGATGAGATCCTTGGCTTCCGGGGTGACGGTGTCCCATTCCGGTGATGGGAACTGGAAGGGGCAGAGGGGCCAGGTTTGCCTAGCCTGCCCCAGGCCACCCCTGCGATTCTCCAGCCCCTGACTGGCAGGGGAGCAGGCAGGGGTTCTCATGCTCAACCACTCAGACATCCACGAGACACTTAGAAGCATGGGCGCCAGACCCTACTGCGAACTCTAGTCCCAGTCACTGAAGTCTCTTTGTCCTCAACCTCTCTGTGTGTATAATGAAGGGTAATAGATTATGACTGGGATGATGGTTCCATGTGATAATACATGGAAAATATTCAGAGGAGTGAGACAGAAGTGCTCAGTTATTTTAATATAAGGAGGGAAAAAAAAAAGCATGTCTCAGAGTCAGGTATGACGGGAGACAGCACTTGGGAGTTGGGATAGGAGAATAAGGAGGCCTTGGCTACATAGTGACTCTCAGACTACCCTGGTCTCATGAGACATTATCTTTTTTCAATTAATTAATTCATTAATTATAAATACCTAAGTAAAAATGCTTGGGGCTTGTTCCTTGTCTCTACCTTCCAGTGCTCCATGGAATAAATTCTATGACTTTTAGACCCTAAATCACTAGGCACCACGTGGCCATAGCCTGACTCAGCAGGTCAGTCTTGGAGCAACCCTGACTGAGCAGTAGAGAGCAGTGGTGTGTCCCCAGATCTCTGACCTCCTAGGCTACTGGTTCCCATCAGAAGGGGAGCATCAGCTGGAGAGGGGAGCAACACTCACATCATAGGCACCAGCTTTGATCTGCTGGTACAGGCGGTGCTGGTCCTCGTCCCAGAACGGGGGGTACCCAACCAGCAAGATGTACAGGATGACCCCTGGGGAGAGGAGCAGGAGAGGAGAGATGAGGCAGGAGAGTGAGGAAAGTGGAGAGGGACCTACAGGCCCGGGTGACAGTTAGGCCTTCAGATGGACTTACCGCAGGCCCACAGGTCCACAGGCTTCCCGTACGGGTCCTTCCGCAGCACTTCTGGGGAGAGGTATCCAGGTGTCCCTGCGAACCCTGCTCCCCAGACACACAGACAGGCAGACACACACACAGAGGTTGGCACGTGAGTAGCCTGGAGCAAGACCCTGCAGGAGAGGGGACGAGGATAGCCCTGGAGCTGGAGAACACAGCCCTGCCCCAAAGCTGGGGTTGTACTGTGCAAACCCAGGGGTCTTGGTAAGCTGATGAGGCCTGTGCACCAGACTGGACCAGACAGGTAGATAGCATCCCTGCCTTCTACTCCCCATCCAGAGCCTCAGGTAGACAACAGTAATCAATCACAGAGCTCCTTTCTCTATGGGTCCCAACCTTCCCTGTAGCCATCACCTACCACTTGCTGGTGGCCTTTAAGAGCTGATCCATTGCCCATACCCTATACTCTGTTCAAGGGCTGTTCATGAGGTGACAGAGATTTGGTCCTAACTCTGGCTAAATTGTGTGTGTGTGTGTGTGTGTGGTGTGGTGGTGTGTGGTGTGGGTGTGTGGTATATGTGGTGTGTGTGTGTGTGTGTGTGTGTGTGTGTGTGTGTGTGTGTGTTATATGTGGGGTGTGTGTGTGTGTGTGTGTCTGTGTGTGTGTGGGTGTGGTGTGGGGTGTGGTGTGGGTGTGTGGAATATGTGGGGTGCGTGTGTGTGTGTGTGTGTGTGTGTGTGTGTGTGTGTGTGTGTGGTGTTGGTGTATGTGGTATGTGTGGAGTGTGTGTGTATGTATGTGCACACATGTACGAGCATGTGTATTTACCTTCTAGGCCTTAGTTTCCTAATCTATCAAATAAACGATTAGATGGTCTTACCTTTAATACTTCTCAATACTGAGAAGATTATTGGAACATGAACACCAAGATATCTTAACTAGATATCTTAACTAGTCCTCTCAGGAGTAGTTACTAGTTGCTGCAGATGTGTGCTAAGCATTGGGCTGGTCACTTCACATGCCTGCTCTTAGTTACCGTCTTGGATTCCCTGGGGGACATGCTACTATCCTCTTCTAAGAGACGAAGAAAACAAGACTTGGTTAAAACCACACACCTTGTAAGTAGTAAAGTCAGGATTTGAACCCAGAACTCTGGTTCTTATTTGTTTTTGTTTTGTTTTAAGGCAGGGTCTCATATATGTAGCCCAGGCTAGCCTTGAACTCCTGTTGATTTGCCGGAATTAGAGACAGGTGCCACCACACCCAGCTTAAGCGTTCTGGGTCTTAGACACTGGTCAGTATTGCTCACTAAGAAGAACCCAGAAGGAGGAAACATGCATGCCCCATCATTTCCAATCCTGAAGCATGCTGGGTTGTCTATACTTAAACACCAGGGCTCTACACCTGTCAAGTTCTCCTGACCGTTCCCAAGCTGCTTAACCTGTCCATTCTCAGTGACACCCAGCATCCAGGGGTCAGGGGCACCCCGCAGAGCTCCTGCCAACCTAGAAGTGCATGCTCTCACAACCAAGATGTACCACCTGGTTAGTGACGGCCCCTGTGCCCATACCTAGTCCTGAGTGAGGAAGGCACTGCCCACTGGCCCAGAGGCTGGCTGGGTACAACCCTAGATGGTCAAACAGCCATCTCATCTCATCCTGAGCAGAAGGTTCCCAGGGGCACACAGGTCGCCCAAAGTATGCCCCTCCCCTCCCGGCCACTCCACACCCCACTCACCAAACCATGCCTGCTGCTCCCCCTCAACCTCTATGGCCAGGCCAAAGTCTGCCAGCTTCACAGCAGCACCCTTGAGCTTCGAGGCCAGCAACAGATTCTCAGGCTTCCCAGGACCAAGAAGGGAGAGATACAAAGAGGGGCCAAGAGATAGTCAGTAGGTTTGGAATCTCACCTGCAGCCTGGGCACACAAGAAGATCCTGGCTGAATGGCCCAGGATCCCACCCCCTCCCACACCTCCAGATCCAGGATCCTGAGTCCCTGGCCCAAGAGGGGGACGATGGCAAGACCCTCAGCTTTTGCAACGGAATGATTCTTCCTCCCACAGCATCCCCAGGGTTGAGAGCTGAGGCTGAAAAGAGCTGAGACAGACTAGGGTGGCACAGCCCAGCCTCATTAAGAGAACAGCAGCATCTTTTAGTACCAGCACAGTATTGTGGTCCACCATCAACCTCCCACCAGTCACCCCAGAGACCTCAGGACATGTACTAGTCCTTGCTTCCCCCAATGACCACTTTCACCCCTCAAAACAGTCCTCTAGTCCCCAGCTTAGGGCCTTTGTATTGCCTGTACTCCCTACATGGCTTGTTCTCCTCCCAAATATCTCTGTCTTACTCTCAGACTCATGTCAGCCTTCCAAAGAGCTCTCTCTCACCAGTACCCCCCCCCCCCCCAGCTCCTTTTGTTAACTATGTGTTATCATGTGTATAAAATGGAGAAAGCGGGGGCTCTGAGGGATTGTGTGATTTATCACAGCTGTTAAATGATGGGTGTCAGAATCAAGGCAAAGGCTGACTCCATCCTAAAGACAGCGGGGCTTGGATGTGGGACCACGGTTGACATGGAGGATGCCCACAGCTGACACCTGGGGCAGCAAGGCTGCTGCCTCTGGCTCAGGTACCCAGATTTTTCCACTTCTTGCATCTTCCTGCCACCTTGAGACTCTGGACAAAGGGGAGCTAGGAGTATGGATTCCACGCTTTTGTCTTCTCTTTCCAGTGCTGCCACGGCTGTGATGGAACCCGGCCAAGTGAGTTCCCTTCTCTGATGGCTGGCTTCCTTTCAGAGAAAAGGGACAGATGCCTGTCTTGTAGCACCGTGTCTAGGTGTATAAACAGCCGTTCTGCTTTGTGAACACCAGGCCCCAGTGCTCGCACTTCCTGCTGGGGGCGGGGCTGAAGCACTCTGTAGAGACAGCTGGTGTCTGCTCTGGCTCTCACTCTCCCCCCAGCAGGACTTCCAGGGACCGCACCAGACCTTTCACAGTCCAAAGCTAGCATGGTGCAAAGAAATGAGGCCCTTCCACCTGGCTTGGTGAGGCCTCCTTCGTCCTCAGGGGCTGTGTTCCCAACATGTCCTGTGTCTTAGTAGTGTCCTGCCCTGATTTGACAAATGTACCCTTAATTAGCGATTCCGGAGTGGCCTAAATCTGGGCCGCTTCTCAGCTCTCCTGCTTCCTCTTTCCCGAGCATGGTCTGTTCCGAGAACAGACCCTTGGGGAAAGCCACTCTGCCCTCCTCGGACTGAGACCTTGTTCCTGAGTCCACCTTTTTGTCACCAAGGTAGAAGGAACTCCGCTGGGGCACAGCTGAGACCTCAAGGAGAGCCTGAGGTAATAAGAGCGAGCTAGGGAACCTTTTCAGAGCGCTGTGCCCTGAAGAAGGCTGGAGATTGGCTGGTTGCTGACCAGGGAGGGCTATCCTGATGGGAATGGGCATTGCTGCTCTGGGAAGCCTGAAGAGGATTCCTCGATGCCTCTGGGGCTCCCAAGTCCTTTGGCATTCCAAACTGGGGCTGCAGGCAGTATCCACAGTGAGTGTAAGCAGGAGTGTTCCTGCCAGGGCTACCCCACAGGATGTCCGAACAGTTGCTGATGACCAAGGTTCCTGGACACCCGGAACGTTTGTCTGTCCCAGAGCGGCTGCTGCAGAAGCTGAATTGGATTAAGCAGCTTTCTGGACCTACGCTGTGGGGGAGGGGTCACAGACTCTGGGGTGAATGCAAGCCAGGGATCCTTGTGCCCTGCTCAGACTCCGCTGAAAAGCATACCCTCGACAAAGCCCTTGGATTCTCTTGGTTTGTTTCCTGTTTTGTAAAATGAGGGTTCTATGAGTTACTGACTACTGATGCCATAAGGCAGACAGAGGAGATCCATGAGGTCCATACTTATTGGGCAAGGCCATGCAGCCCATGACAATGCTAGACTTCTCAGTGCTATCCCTTTCCTTCAGGTGGGCGAAAGGGGGCACAGAGGATCCCCAAGCCCTGTTTTCTTCTCCTCTGCCTGACAGAGACTCAGGAGCAAGAGTAACAGGATGTCTGTATCCCAGGGATGTCGTGCTTTCATTTGACAGACTCATCAATGGGGCAGAGGTTGCCATGACAACCCCTCTGTAGGGAAGCTGAGTCACCTGCAAGGTACTCCAGCCAAGGGGTTGGAAAGATGGCTCAATGGTTAAGAGCACAGGCTGCTCTTCCAGAGGACCAGGGTTTGAGTCCACATGAAGGCGTACAAACTGTCTAAATAACTCCAGTTCTAGGGGGGCCCGATGTCCTCTTCTGGTCTCCATAGTCATCAGGCATGTGGTGTACATAGGCACACACACACATGTGATGCACATATACACATGCACTCCTACATGTTTAAAAAAAAAAAAAAAGCCCAGTAGCTAGCTGCCAGGCAGCAGACTGAGATCAGCTTCCTTCCCAGCCCACTGGGCAGTCCCAGTTCCATGCACCTCACCCTCACCTCCTGGCACAAAAGGCATGGGGCCTGGACCTAGCAGTCCTACCTCCCTGAACTCCATTTCCTGACCCGACAGCCTTGACAACTGGAAAACACAGCCACCCACCTCAAGGTGAGGAAAGTAAAGGAATTTGGGGAATGCAGAGCTGAGGGCCTGGGCTGCATTAACGGAGTTCCTTCCCCAGGCCCCCGGCGGCGGCGGCGGCGGCGGCGGAAGGAATTTGGGCGGTGCTTGCGCAGGGGGCTGGAGGGGAGTGCGGAGGCCAGGAGTCTTGGCTTCTCTAGGGCTACTCACCTTCAGGTCTCGGTGCACCACCCCCCATCTGGTGACAGTGCAGCACAGCCTCCAGGATCTGCTGGATACAGTGACTGGAGAGAAAGGGGAGGGGGAGGTCAGGCCCCCTCGGGAAGCTGACTGGAAGCAAGGATACACTCCCTCCGGGAGCCTCTGCCAGGCTGCCCCTGATACTCACCTGGCATCGGCCTCGCTGTAATACTCCCGGGCCACAATGTCCTCGAACAACTCCCCACCAGTGACCCTGGGGAGACAGGCATGGAGTCACCCTTCCACTGAGACTCCAGGGGCCACCTGACCTGGAGGAACCTTCTGGAAATCATCTGAGAAGGGCAGGGCGAGGGACCTTAGGATCTCAGCCCCCAAAGGAGGAACTGGATCGTGAATGTCCCTGCTGCCGCTCCCTTCCTGTCTTCTGACACAGCCCACTTTCCCTGACACCTCTCCCTCCTCTCATTGGGTCTCCACTGATGGGGACAGTAGCTCAGAAGCAGTCACTGGGTCCACGAGGCTCCTGGAGGCCCATGGGCCATTTGGTTTCGTTTAGCTTACTTGGTTCACTTTTCTATTTGTTTTTAAATCATTTTTTTTTTTTTTTTGGTTTTTTCGAGACAGGGTTTCTCTGTGTAGCTTTGCGCCTTTCCTGGGACTCACTTGGTAGCCCAGGCTGGCCTCGAACTCACAGAGATCCGCCTGGCTCTGCCTCCCGAGTGCTGGGATTAAAGGCGTGCGCCACCACCGCCCGGCCTTAAATCATTTTTTTTTAATGGAGTGGAAGCTATGGAGGCGATTTCTCATGTGCTCCTATCCCCCAACATGTGCCGCTCCCCCCCCCCCCCCCGCCCTTCCTCAACATCACTGTGTTTTATGGACCAGGCCAGCATCCTCACGGATTGCCGCTGGCCAACCCAAGAACAGACGAGGCCTGTCATTTTGCTCCTGCTTTGACAAACTCGATTTCAAAATGAAACTTGAGATCACCACCGTGAACGGCAAGGCAGCATCACCGGCCACAAATAGAGACGCAAAAAATAAACCGATGATGCTAGTTGAATGTGTCTGGTGTTCTAAACAGGAAGACCAGCTTGCACCGGCTTGGGGAGCGGCCCTACTGCATGTAGGGGAACTCTGGGCAGCCTGAGAGCATGCAGGATCCCTCAGACCAAAGAGTCCGTAAGGGTCATCCCTGCCTAGGCACCCTTCTCCCATGGCCCATTAGGGTGTGTGTAAAAAAAAAAAGACTTACAGATCGAAGATCAGGTAGTGGTGTCCCTCTTCGGAGATGCTGTCATGGAGCCGGACTGTGGGCAGGGCCAAGGCAGCTGGTTACACAGTGGTTCACTGCTCTCCACCCCGCTCGCCCCCTGTCGGGCTCCTGGGGTTACCACCTCAACCCTCAGTCCCTGAGCACCAACCAGCTTTGACAAAAGCAAGTGGAATGGACTCACCACACCAAGACCTCCAGCATTACTGAAAGGGGACCAGGCGTAAAGACTGAAGACCTCCGTGGGTCGGCTTGGTCCCTCTCCCTGTCCTAACCCTCGGTTTCATAAAAGAGCCCTGCGTGCCAGTCTCTGTGCGTGCCAGTCTCCGCCAGAGACTGGCTGTGTGACGGTGGGTGGGCAAGTTGCTATGCCTCTCTGAGCCTCTTTTCTCCTTATTTAGACTTTGCTAGCTCGTTACATGAGTCCCATGAGGTGCACAGCCATACCCACTTGGTGCTGGCCCTGGATTGACATCCCTGCTCTGCTCGCAGTCTGAGAGACAATGGTGTTCCCGGGGCTGGAGTGAGAGAGACAGCAGTTGGTTCCTGAACTCTGATGGCTGCCAATTTGTCATCTCTTCACACCTCATTTACCAGGAACAGAGGCAAGGCTCCCAGGAGCCCAGAGCTCCCTAAATTGCTCAGCTTTTAAAAGAAGGGCCTGCGGCCTAGGACTGACTCTGGAAGCTCTGTGCTGTCAGCCAAGGACCAGGTCTCACAAGCTAGGGGCCCGTCCTTCTCTGTGTCATAGACCATCTGTGTAATTGGGGGGGTAGGGGGGGCTGGCTGGGACAATTAGGATCCTCCTGCACGATGGAAGTCACACAGCTGTTGGAATGACTCGGCGGTTCACCTGCTGGTTTGGAACCTTCTCCAAACTCTGTCATTTGGTGGAAAAGGAAAGTGTAAAGCTGTGGGGTTCTTTCTAAGAAGATGTTTGAGCTTAGGTTTGGTGCAAGTCTGTCTAGGAAGATGTAGAGAAGCGGACAACTGGGTTATAGGCCCCCTTCTCACTGGAAACCATAGCTAGCATCACTGGGTGTGTGCCAATGGCCTTGAGCTACAACTCAGTATGGAGCCCTTGAGTGGCTCATGGCCCTCAGACTCGTACATAAACTTGGTGTGCTGAGAGGTAATTCCTGAATGGATGCCCCAAGGGACAGGAGATAGCCACCAGAGATATAAGATGATGGGATGGGGTGTGGTTTGCACAGACATAAATGAAAATGTTAAGACCCTTTCCCTTTTTATATTGCTGGGATTAAACAGAGCAAAGGATGTGCTCTACCACTGAGCTGCATCCCCAGACCTTGGTCTGTTGCTGTTGTTGCTTTTTATTATTTGCTTGTTTTTAGAGAGGGTCCCCTTGTGCAGCTAGCGTCAGGCTAGCCTCAAATTCTCAGTCCTCCTGCCTCCCAAACACTGGATTACAAGCATGTCATGTGCCTGAAACGTTAAGCCAAATGTGAAACGTGCGTTCTCTTTGAGAATTTTATTTTTGTTTGTATTTCTGCGTCTGTGTGTGTATGCGCCCATCAGTGCAGGCACCGGCAGAGTCCAGAAGGCCTCAGGTCCCCTGGAACTGGAGTTTCAGGTGGCTGTGTTGGGAACCCGAGTCAGTTCCTCTGCAAGAGCAGTAAGGGCTCTCTTAATTGCTGAGCCATCTCGCCAGCTTGTGAAAGCATTCTTAAACGCTGATAAGCTGTTACGGCTTTGGGTATGAAGTGTCTCCCAAGAAGGCTCATGTGTTAAAGACTTGCTCTGCAGTAAGCAGTGCTCTGGGGAGTGGCTGGGTCACGGGGACACTAACCTCACTCATTCGACATATGCTTCCATTGAGGAGTGCACAGATGAACGGGCTATAGAGCATGATACATGAATATCTTCTTCATGAATTCAGCTTCTCTTCCCTGTCTCAAACTATTCATTGAACTCTCAGGTTATGAATAGCCCCAACAAGGTTTCCCATCCTCTGGCATGGGCATGGACTTCTGGGGTCTGTCTATCACAAGTAGTGACGGCACCGCCCTCACCCAGGCAGGAAAAGAGGGATAAAAGGTCTGCAGACGCAGCTGGATCAGGCTGTGCTGAGATTCCCCACTCCCATGCCCTTGGACAGGGCAGTGGACACAAGCAGATAAGAGCCCATCCACCTTGCCTTGGATTTGCCAAGCAGGCTAAGATCTCATGAGATTTCTCCGGGCATGATGCCCTCTGGGCTTCTACACCACATCTATCCCATGTTAGGTTTCTCTTGCAAGATCACAAGAGCTTAAAGTGAACTGTTGGGCAGGGGCCAGGGCCTTTCCAGCTCCCCAGCAGTAGCTCATGGCTTCTGCTCCTCTGAAATTCTTCTGGCTACATGCTCAGCTCTGCTCCCCACAAGTAGCCATGTTTACTTCCGCCCTTATTTCTCCCGACAGCCTCAGTGCCTAGAAGAGGTCTGGACATATGGTAGAACCTCCAGCGAACTTGACATTGTGTGAATGAGGAGTAAACAGCACCATGGAGACAGGGAGAAAGGTGGTAACTCATTTCTGGGTTCTTGCACCTCAGCGTGTCAAGGTGTCTCCCCATGTCGATGGGGCAGAGCAATGGTGGTTGTGTGGGGTCACAGGTAAAACTTGTCTGCTGGGGGGATCACGCCAAAAAATGGCAGACTGGGGGTCTGGGGCGGCTGAGCAGTGTAAAGCACATTCACTCTGTCATGGCATTATGCTCTATTGAATTACCATACCCAGCCAGGAAAGGCTAATTCTGCATTTCCAGGAAAGTCTGAATTTCAGAGTGGTGAGGCAATGTGTGTAGGGTCGGTCACACAGGAACAAAGCGGTGTTTGAGCTGCAGGTTGTTACCCCACGGCCCACGTACTCCCATTACAGATGGGAACGGGAGGGAGAGAGATGTAGCCTGGAGCACTGAGTTCAGACAGGTCAGCTGCAATGCCCGAACCCATCTAGATACATGTGTATGGGTGTGCACATCACACCCATACACAGATATCACATACAGACACCACACATGTACAGAGAGATACCACACATAGACATACATACACACAGATACCACACACACACACACACACACACAGAGACATAACATACACACACAGACATAACACACGCACACACAAACACTCAGAGACACACATACACAAAGAGACACACATATAGAAACATACGCAAGAGACACTACACCTACAAAGACACACACACACACACAGACACTCATACAGAGACACAGACACATGCACAAACACAGCGATATTACAAACATACACACACACACACACACACACACACACACACACACACACACACACACACCAGCACATGTATACCACTGTCCTCCTCCCAAGCTGGCAGCCCCCTTGAGGACATGGGGTTTCTGTCAGAGCTCACTGACCGAAACCATCCATCAGCAGCGAGGGGTGGAGAACCCAGGTGAGCGGAGCATGGTCCAGCTAGGGGCCTCCTCCAGCTGCGCGGCCTTTGCCTCTTTGCTACTGGCCAGCCTGGCTGCTATGCAGAGGGGCGGGGCCTCTGGTATAAATAGCAGATGGAGCATTCTCCCTGGGGAGAGTTAACCCTTCCTGCTCTGTGGGAGAAGGTAAGGCCGTCGGAGCTGGAGCTTCCTCAGAGAACTCAGAGGCAGCTCACCTGAAAACAAGCCCTGGAACCAGCAGCTTAGCTTCCCCTCTGTGAGAAGCTGCGAGAACTTCGGACACCTCAGCCCACCCACCGAAGCAGAAGCTGCCATGACACAAGACGCCCCCCCGGTGAGCAGACAAGGGCAAGCGCTAGTGGAGATGAGGGGAGTGCCTCAGAGAGGGCGACTTCCCCACTAAGGTCTCACAGCTATTCCCTGACAGAACAGGACCTAACAGCCCCGCTCCTCCCTGACTGGCCCAGCCAGATGTGCAAGCCAGATGCACAGGAGGGGAAAGGGGCCGCGAGAGACAATGAAGTGTGTTTCGGGACCTTCCCTGTGGTCCTGCCTCCATGGACCAAGCATCTCCAGAAGATTGCTCTCAGTCTAACTCTGGGGCAGAGGCCGAGCTCCTGGAAAGGCGAGAGGCAGGCGGAGGAGGAGCAGGACTCAGAAGCAAGGACGGGGCCCACAGATCCAGGCTGACACCGCATGGGGTGGGTGGGGGCGTGGGCCTTGATGGTCAAGGCCAAGCTTCCCCCTGGCCTATTTTCATCTTTCTTTTTCAGCTTCAAGAGCTTTCCTGAAACAGCTTTTCCGAAGGAGGCTGCTGGCAGCGTGGGAGGGAGGAAGGGTCCTTTTTTTTTTTCACCTTCCCCCAAAGCAAGCTGGTCCTGAGCAAGACGCCCCCTTCCCCATCTCCCTCCACAGCCTCCATCCCCAGGGAAGAAAGTGACTGCTCCCTACCACCCCACACTGCTCCAGGACCCCCTCACACTCCCAGGGCTCACCGATATTGGGGTGCTTCAGCAAGCGGCAGATGCGGGCCTCACGCTCCAGCTTCTGGTGATCTGAAATACAGATTCCCACGTCAATCCCAGAGAAGTTAGACTCCCACCCTGTGTCTGTTATTCTTACCTCCCAGGGTGGCCCCAGGCACTGGAAAAGGTGGCCTATGTATCAGGGCTTCTGAGTTCCCATAAAGGGCAAGTGGGTGGTGATAGGGACCTAGATGAGTCTCTCTCCCTCTCTAGGCCTCAGTATCCAGGACTCCTCAAGGACAGCCTTCTCCAGCCCCCTCTTGTATGGCGAGGCCCAATCACCCGGAGGTCTGGAGCCCCGATCCAACTCCCTGTTGCTCCTCCAGGCCTGCCCTCAAACCCTAGCTCCAGGCAGATGAACTTCAGAATTTTCCCTTCCTAGTTCCCCTCTGGGAACCACCAGTCCACTGGCAGGGACAACCGTATCACCAGCCATTGCTCGATCCTACCTCCCTTTAACGTCATTGGTTTCTAGAAGCCCACCCTGACTATAGAAGCCTATAGGGACCCTCCTCTGGGCTCCAGAGGGAGAGGCAACATCTTCATGTCTTATAGAACCTACATCCTTGGGCAGGGTCTCTGTTGTACCACCTGCAACTACTTGAATGCCTGGTACATGTTAGTTATTCAAGAAATCACCAAATGGATGGATGGATGGATGGATGGATGGATGGATGGATGGATGGATGGATGGATGGATGGATAAGTAGGTGGGTGGATGTATAGATTGATGGATGGGTGGGTGGGTGAGTGGATGGATAGATGGATGGATGGGTGGGTGGGATGGATGGATGGATGGATGGATGAGTGGGTGGATAGGTGGGTGGGTGGGTGGATGGATGGGTGGATGGATGGATGGGTGGGTGGGTAGATGGATGTGTGGATGATGAGTGGGTAGATGGATGAGTGGGTAGATGGATGGGTGGCTTGGTGGGTGGGTGGATGGATGGATGGGTGGGTGGGTGGGTGGGTGGGTGGATGGATGAATGACACAAGTTTCCTATGGTAGTTTTCTTCAGAAGAGCTGTACCCCAGCAGCCCCTCCATTTCATAGGACACTAGAACCAGGGACAGACATCTCCAAAGACTTATAGGGTGGAATTTGGTGGTGTCTCTCCCTTGTGGCTGGCCCAGAGCTGCTCATCTGCCTGCCAAGACCTCTGTCCAAGACCCCCTGTCTCCCAGACACCTGCAAGAGCTCTGTAGAAGCTTTGTAGAAGCTCTGCAGCTTGTGTGGTTTTCTACCTCAGGCTGCTGGGAACAATCGTAGCCACCACCTAGTCAGTGCCCATTTCACAGATAAGGACACCTGGCCCAAGCTGGTGGCAGTCTTGGGCCTGCAGTGGCCCTTGTACATTCTTCAATTCCCTTTGTGCTCTTCTTCCACACTTCAGTAGTTAATGCTTGAGTTAAATATTTAAAGGGAAATTGCTAGCAAATGTGGAATGGAGGTTTAGCATCTCTTGTCCAAAACGCTTAGAACCAGGGACCAAAAGTGTTCAAGATTTGGAGTTTGGGGATGTCTGCATATACATAACGAGTTGTCTTGGAAAAGGGATCACAGTCTAACCACAGAGTGTAAGTATGTTTATGCATGTGAAGCATACATACATATACTCTAAGGGTAATTTGACTTCAGTACATGTGCTGCCAAAGTTGGCACCTAAAGGTAATTTTATATGACATTTTTTCAGGGTGGTGTGCATAAAACCCAGTTTTTCCTGGTGTGGAATGTTCGACTTACTGGATGACATCCATCCTCAGAGTTTGGGTTTTCTAGTTGGAGACTCTCAACCTGTGTTTACTTGACGCCAGGCACAGGGCAGAGCATTTGTGCCCCTTTCAAGCAATCTTTAGGCCATCCTGTCATTTTTCTGACTTCACAGAGGAAGGAGGAGCTAAGGACCCAGTGTGACTGGAGTTGGATTTTAAACGCTATGTTGTACTGCTCTCTGGAACCCGACTCAGAACTACCAATTCCGCCTGCCTGTGCCCCGATGGGAAGTTGGGGCCCATAGAAGGACACTCAAATTACAGTCCAAGGCTGACCCAGGGCTATAACCTGACCACAGGATGGCCCCTCCAGAACAGGTGTGGTGAGGATGGAGAAAGTCCTTCTTTCCTCAGCTCCCTCCACTAGATCAATTGCTGGCTGCCCTCTGTGGGCTGCAGAAGCCAAGATCAATGCTACAATGTGGCTTTACCATCAGCAAAGCAATTAAGTTCAATTCTGGTTGATAGGCTCAGCTCCCCAGCTGAAAACCTGCTGCAGGCTGCAGGGACTGGGGATGGGGTACAAAGCCAGACTAGCTCCACATACCCTCTGCTCCCTCCCCTCCCAGCCTCTTTCAACACCCTGAGGCACGGAATGCTGATTCCTCGGCAGAGGAGGGGACCCCAACCAGTCCCCTGCTCCATGTGCATTTCACCTCTCCCACAGCAGAACCAAAGATCTTCAGAGGGAAGGTCCAGACTATCAGAATGGAATCTTCTGGCCCAGGCATTCAGAGGGAGAGGGTGCAAGTCTAAATCTGGAATTGTGCATGAGATGACCCAGGAATGCAGACCCACTGGCAAACTATATGGGGGGCGGGGGAGTGTGCGGCAAAACACTGGTCACAAACCCATCAACTCTTCCTGGTTACCAGACCTCCTTGCTGGAACTGCCAAATCCTTGTTTTTAAGACTCTGATGCCAGCTGCAGGCATAATACAGCTGCCCTGCCTGGTGACTTTCCCCGTTAGCCACACCCATCTGCTGCGTAGGAACAGAATGGTGTGCAGGATTTCCTAGCCCTGTTTGCAAAGTTTTCGTTTGCTAAAGCACTGAGACGCTCAGGTGCTATTGGGCCATGTTCTCTGGGCTGTTCTTGCTCTGCTGGGTAGGAAGAGAAAGTGAGGCCTGGTGATAAAGGGGTAGTCCTTTCTTCAACGTCACTGATCAGGACAGCCAAGCCCTTTCAGAACTTAGAGCTCTGAGGACCTCACTCTGGCAGTCAAGGGCTTTTTTTTTTTTTTTTTTTTTTTTTTTTTTTTTTTTTTTTGGTATAAATAAGACCCTGCTGTTCCTGGGTGTCCAACAAACTAATAGCTTCCCAACGTGCTTACGATCCAACCCGAGGCCCTAGCTATCATCTTAGCCACGAAGCCCAGTCACACTGACTTCTTTCTTTCTGGCCTGGCATACACCATGCTTCTTTTTGTTTGTTTTGTTTGTTTGTTTGTTTGTTTTTCAAAACAGGGTTCTCTGTGTAACAGCTCTAGCTGTCCTGGATCTCACTCTGTAGACCAGGCTGGCCTCGAACTCACAGAGATCCACCTGCCTCTGCCTCCCGAGTGCTGGGATTAAAGGTGTGCGCCACCACCGCC